TTCTATTTAATGCCGTCCCCTTGATCCTCACCCGCCTGTGAGTTGATTCCTGCCAACGGCTTTAGTGTTCCATAGACTTGCCACGAACTCTTCTAGTTGTCGTAGATCCTTGGATGGCTGCACCTTCCGTCACCGATATCGGTGAAATGAGGTCATCAACGCCGGCACGTTGTTGTACTCGAACTTCCGGAGCTATTTTTTTAGGTGGTCCGGGAGCAAAGGTCATAACCAGCACAACCAACGCTCCCATTGCAAATGCTGCACCACTATAGGCTGCGGAACTGCCCAATATCCAGTAATTGGTGCACGCAAAGATTGGTCCCAGAGATCGCCCCAGCTGTCCGACACTACGGAACTTTCCGAGAACTTGCCCTCGATCACTGTTGTCTTCCGCGGTCGCATCTACTGTCTTTTCCCCAGCTCCGGTTTCATAGCTCACAAGGGACGTCAATCCAGTAACAACGGTCCCGCTTGTGAAGGCCAGAAATGCAGCGCCCAGATATAGCCAACCTAAGCTATACGCTTGAACTCCTAGTACTGCTAGCCCGATCCCGCAAGCCGCAATGCCCTGAGCTACGAGGGTCCGTTCATGAACGCGTTTATGAGCCACACGACGCGTATATCCACCCTGCACCAAGGCAGATAACACGCCAATAAACGCTAAAAGCCGGCCCTGTTGCCCGTGTGAGAAACCAAACCGATCATGGGTCAGGAAGGTCAGAGTGAACTCCATTCCAGAGAAGAAGAACAGGAAAAGAAAATGAATGAGACTGAGCGCCCACAGTTTCCGATCCGACTTTGACATTGCCTTTCCTGCACTAGCCACCGCAGGATTGGCTTTGTTGGCCAAGCGTGCCGAGCGTCGGGGACTTGCGGCGGCATCAGAGGATCGTTTGTCACTTGAAGATCTGAAGTTGATGGTTTCCGGTAGAGAAACTCCCAAATAGATAGTTTCAATTACGATCAGGATGAACGCGAACAGAGCCGGGCTTGAGTATCGGTTGATCGGCAAACCTTCCAGAGCGGGAATCAATTCTATCAGATCAAAGGACGTGAAGTATGCGCCTAGTGGGGGGCCAACGGTGAACCCCAAGGAAAACGCTATTCCAACCAAAGCCTGCAAGTAGAAAGTTCATGTAAGTCCTTCAGGGGATGTTGGCGTGGCTTCACCCACCAATCCGCGAGATCTTGTTTCAGGCGTAGTGACATCCGAGATCATTGCGATCGACATTTGCACATTTCCTTCAGTCAGCCCTCCAATTATTCTTGACCATACAAACGTAGTAAATGAGCCAGAAAAAATCCATAGCAGCATCGATACCCCATTTCCAAGCTGCAAACTACCCATTAGCCCCTCCTCTAATTCACACGACAAAAGACAGATTACTGACCATGCTTAGCAATAAGACGCTTCGTCGTCCATATTTGTCACTCAACCGCCCAATAATGGGACTGCTGATAAATTGGAGGAAGGAGAAGAGAGACCCAAGGGCACCGCCAAAGAGAATGATATCAAGCCGCGATCCCGAGACTCCCAGCATGTCGCGGAAGGACTGAATTACCGTACGCATGCGAAAGTACGTTGAAGACTATAACATTGAATAGCCATGAGGAGACAAGTTTATCGATCTACACACAAGATACGACTACGCTGCTGGCATCTCGTTCACCAGCACTCTCGCCAGTCATGCCCAAATGCGCACAACCATCTCACATACCTCGTTCGCACCGTCCACCTGCTCATAATGCTCCAACAACCGCGGAAACAGGGGTAGTATGATGGTAAACGCTAGGATATCGATCAAGAGAGCACAAAAGACCGTCGTCAACGTTTTGCGAACAAATTGTTGCCGTTCAGGCGAATTCGCTGGGAGCTCCTTCCAGCTGACGCGATGGCCCATGTTTGCTTGTACAATGTTTGCAAATGGTGGCCTGGATGTTTGGGCAGATGCCAAGAGAGCACACCAGCCGAGACCGTCCTATACCACTGAGTTTCATTATGATTCAAATGCACTGGAACCTGTCAAAACAAGCCAAGTGCTTCGAATGGCCAACCGAGTAAAGGCTCAGGTAAATAGAAAGTTATATAATGTATTTCCATTCTTCTTGCTATTTATTACGTTTACCACCACCACTTCAAAGTACAAGATTCATCATCACCGTTCCATTCCTTTCAAATACAGTCTACTATCCAGTCATCCTGGCCGATCATCAGTCAGGCCCGAGGGTTTAATGTCCGACAGTGTCAGCGCGAGAGAAGGCTGCTGCAGCCGGTGCGGCTACAGGGGTTTCTGGCTTCCGAACGAGAAAGAAAAACATGGGAGTAAATATCTCCTGCTGACCAGCCTTGACGAGAGCATCCGCAGCAAGGTTGAGCAGGGAAGACACCTTGCGCGTTCCCGAGGGTGCCATGCGAAGGGTCTCCAGAGTCAGCACCATTTTGTCAGTCATCCTGTGGGAAAAGTAATATTAGAGAAGCCAAAACATTCGAGTTTAGAGGATGCTTACCATCGACCAAGTGGAGTCATTCTCCAGCGGTGCAGCTGTTCCAGGTTCAAAGAGTAGCTTCCTTGTAGGGGAAGGTACCAGGGATCTTGTGCCTCTTGGAGAGGTGCCTCAGAAGAGGCCAAATCGCAGTACTCTATGATCTCAAAGCCCAAGGTCTTCAATACCGTTAGGCATTGGGGGACAGTGTACAGCTTGGAAATTGAGTTACCCTCCTGTATAATCGGCAGAACGGTATAAGATGATGAAAATCACTTTGATGCACCGCTCTTGCATACCTCTACATCGTGGATAATCTTTTTCTGTGCTGGGTTGGTTTCATCATAGCGGTCGGTTGTTAGCCATTCGTAGCAGGCAAACATGCCACCAGGCTTAAGCACACGGAAGACCTCGCCGTACACGTTCTCAAGGCGAGATGCGTGGCAGCAGGCTTCAATAGCATATGCAGCATCAAGAGAGTTTGATGGGAAGGGCATGTTTTGGAAATCTCCCTAGGAAACCATCATTTGTGTTAAAAATGCATGCGCTAGTAGTAGCTATGAGTTAATCAATTTCTAGGTTACCTTTACGGCTTTGCAGAGGCTAGATAGGCCAGCCTCCTTTGCCAAATGCCTGCAACGCTCGACTTGATACGCATTGTTGTTGAGACCAGTTACATATGCGCCGCTGAACTTTGCAATCTCTCGCAAAGGACCACCTAAGAAATTCTGACGTTAGAAGAAAGGGTTGCAATGTAATTTAGTGCGAGCCAAACACTCACCAACACCACAGCCGACATCCACACACTCCATTCCGGGCTTCAGACCCAGTTTCAACGCGAGGTAGTGCTCATGCTGAGAGATGCATTGTTTGAAACTCGACTCACGGAACATACGGGCAAAGTGGAAGGACGTTCCCCAACCTACAAACAGTTCGCGAGCATATTAGAGAATGTTGAGTAAGCGTCGCATGGCGCTATGATGGCACCAGATGCGCACCAAGTGAGCAACTATATGGAGAGACTGAGTCTACTCACCATATTCGTAAAAGTCCGTCACCAAATCGTAAAAGTGATTTGTAAGTTTATCCGAGTTCGACCGCCGCTCCGCAACCGAGTTTTCAGTGTTTTCAAGGGACTTGCGATCAGAGTCCCAGTACTGATAATATGAGTCTACGGTAAGCTTGTGCGAGCTGGTGTCGGTGTTCTTCTTGCGAAGGCGAAGAAGGAAAGAGCCGAGCTCGGGATCTTGGACAGGAGTTGGGAGGGTCCCGTTGGTGGTAGCGGTTCGGGTCATGGTTGTGATGGTCTAAAAAGCTGTAAACCAAAAGTCAGGAATTGTTCCTGATAGTCCAATTGCAGACAGCACATGGATTACCAATAGATGACAATGTTCGTCGACTATCGTCAAACGTTGTAGGGCAGATAGATAAACAAGTGGGCAGCAAAAGTCAGTACTGCCTGCTAAAAAGCAGAAGAAAGGAAGGGAGGATGATTGAACGAGCTGCAAAGCAACAGTAATCAACCTCTATATACTACGTAGCTGAAACCATCGTTATTATCGTACGTTTGATTAGAAGGGCAGTCCACACCAATCCCCTGCAGGAGGCTCCTGGTTGGTTGGATACCATTCTCGCAACTGCCTTATTAAAAATGCTCATGGTTCCACGCTCACCCTGAGTGCCTTTCCCCTGCACACTCTTTTACCCCAAAGTGCTAGAATTACAAGCAGCGTGCAATGGCCGCGTCGTGCCATAGCACGCGTCAGCCCATCGCTCTATCGGACCACTCGCCCCTTGGCCTCCTCTGCCCAACAACAGCTCGTTAGTCACCGCCATTCGGACAACGGCCAAGAACCCGAGAGTGGTCGACAGCGTTTTTTGCACAGCTCCCTCGGAAGAATTTAGCCGTTTGTAGCTATGGCCCTGAATCTACGAATGTACGATGAAATGCTTTGGCGAGTGCATTGGAGACGTCAATTGTAATTGACTTTTTAACTGGTAACCCCAAGCTTTGCATAGATAAAGGTACCATGATGTCCTTCGCTATGTATGGACATTGGAAGTCTGCCCATCAAAGGGTATCAAGAAAGGTCAAGAACGACATTGGTGACGTGATTTCAAAGCGATCAACGCACCGACAAACGATACAACAGGTAAATTGCTGTAATCAAAGAATTGTTGAGCGTTTGAACAAACCGCTTCCTGGGATTCCGGGCGGTAATCCATTGCAGAATTTGAACATGTCTCCAAGCAATAACTGCATGCTCATAAGAACCCCTCGCATTCAATCCCCCGCAAGCTTCTCGGCTCACTGAACGTTCGGTTCGTGTCACATGGCACGATCGTCCTGCGCAACACAGCGGTGGAACTCGTCATCAAGCCCAAGCAGCGTTTTCGACCGGAAGGAGCACCAACTTCATCTGAAAAATGGTCACTTAGCCTACTGGCGTATGCCTTAGATACGTTGCGTTCAGAGACGAGCCAAGCAGAAGGCTAATCAGTCCCAAACCTCACTCATGATTAGGGTTAGGGTCGAAAACTACAAAATTGTGATGCAGCGGAAAGACTGCAGTGCTACCTATGAAAGCCTTACCGCAACCAGCGGTAGGCACCTGACACAGTTTTTTAAGATTTAGGACAATTGGGTTGGGTTCTATCGACTTAGAAATCCAGCATGAAGTTTCAAAACTGTATTGCAATCCGGACAAGAAGGTTTACTTTGCTATATGCCCATATCCATAAGCTTTAGGAGAAAACCACCATCCTACCAAGTCCAGCCCACCTTTTGCCCTTCTTCAAGTGCTTGGGTGATCAGTTTCCAGGAGTGTATATATTTGAGAATCTCGCATTGCGATTTACTGCGACCTGCTAGTAGGTAGCCCAACCGATCCAGATAGCACAACCGAATACCATGTGGTAAACATATGGTACGACGGTCTATTCTTGTGATATACGTAGATGAACATTCGTGAGGATGCATCGCAAGCTCTCGGAACGTATTCTGTGCTTCAAACACCGCAATTTCGTGACTTATTGTACTTGATGTCTCAGGAAGCACATTTGCAAACGCAATCCTTAATCGATCAGCACTTGCTATGTCGTTTATCGAACGTATTATCAGTGCGATAACTTCCGCTGGAAGATTTGACATACATGGCCCTTCCTTGGTGGCCAGATCTGGCATTGCTTTCTGTCATTGGTAGGGTAAGAAAATAAAAAATAAAGTAACATGTATTAGGCAATATAGGCATTACCTTTACACCAAAGGTTGTTTGTACGGTAAATCTAGTTGATCATGAACAAGTCGGCAACCTGTGGCTGACGTAAAGCCGATCAACTCCGCTGACTGTCCAGGCATCTTATAACATTAGCAGCCATTTTGGTTATTGTGTCGACTTTGCACATATCGTGCAGCAAAATATGGAAAACATGAATATTTCGTTCCTAGCCAGAATGGTTCTTATCGAACATGAATAGTGTCATTCTAAGGCCGCCGTAAAAGTTGACGACACTACAGGACTTGAATCATTTATGCTTGAGCGTAGCAAATGCGTGGAGCGTTTCTTCCGTTCTCAGGGTGATTTTGTCTGCCATCATACCAGCACTCTTGCCCAGCGGCCCTTCGGCCCTTCGCACAACCTTGTTTGGTGTCTTAAGTATATGCCCCTACCTCAGATCAGTGACGAACAGAAGCTGGCGTTTATTTTCCATGTGGTCTACATACAAACTATAACTATGTAAACGACTACCTAGATCAGTATAGTTGACTTGAACTAGTGTAAACAGGCGGTTTACACTTTTTCACGTTTCACTTGACGGCCGCAGACCCAATAACGGTCGCATGCTCTCAAGCACTAGCCGCATCGTTTCTACACTTCTCAAAGTATCTGAAAGAGATCTATAATGAACGTCAGATTCATCTGAGCCTAATCTAGAAGGCACGACGTCTAACGACTGCTGGCTGTCAGTAATCGCTGCTAAACGCAGAAGTGGATACGGAATAAAGGAGGTATATTTCCCGGCTCCAGTCCCTAAGAAACTTGTTGCGATACTTGCCAACCTTCTTTGAGATGGGTCTAATACCATAGTGAGGAAAGGATCGTCTGAACCTGGCATCGTGGCATAGCCGAAAGGATGTGCAGCCTTGAAAGGCGCGGCGTAAACTGGAAACGAGGACGCTGATGATAGTGGTGGGAGACTCGGAACTAGAAAGGATGCGCACAACCTCCCGTCAACAGGCTCAGCCTGCGTGCGAACGGTTTTCAAGTCACCTCTTGGGTTCGCTCGTAAACTAGATGCTGTATCGGTATTCACATCCTGCATCTCACTCAGAACAATCTCCGGATGACGACGGATCCGCGATCCCCATGGCCGGACCACCACATACATTGATCCCAAGGAACTCTCCTGGTCGCCGGAAGCGTGATCATTTGATATCGATCTGTACATATCCGTCCTCCGGTAATGACTTGACTCTGTATCCCGCGATTGTGCGGAATCAGAGGATTGTCGGTTGTCCCAACCAGGTATTTCTGCGGCTGCTGCGGTGCCATCTTCATCTAGTGTATCATTCGATTGGTGTATGAGCGGCAAACGCTCGCCGTCAAGGCGTCTTAATCCTGCCTGTTCTCTTCGGATGTCTCCCCTGTCATCATGATGGTCTCTGTTAAGCTTGCGGTCCCTTCCTACAGGTGCGACCTCATGAGCTCTGGGAGGGAGCAAACGGCGTCTTCTCAATCTCGTTGTTTCTGACAAGTCTCCATTGCTGCGAATCACACTAATCGCTTGCGGGTCGGTTCGTTTTCCGTGCCATCTTGCGTTCTCGCCTTGACCGAGTAGTCCCTGCGATTGACTGGGAATGGCAATTTCAGTCTGATCCCTATCTGCAGGAATACTCCCCCTTCGAGTACAAGATAATTGGCTGTCTCGTGTATTCACGGCGTCCGATGTTGACGGACCTTCATCGCGACACCACCATTCCCTGGAGCACGAACGACTACTGGCCCTACAGGAAGCGGAATATGGGCGCGAAATATTGATACTGGGGAGAGAAACGGCATGGCGTGAATACGTCCTTCTTGCGTGTTCTTCACAAGCTGATGGAAGCTCTGTGTACATATCGTTACAGCCGATCCCTTTGTAATCACCCCTATTATCATTCGCTCTATACTTGAGAAAGTTGGATGAGAACCCTGAAAATGGTGAATATGTCGAGACACGGGTGTAGTTGGGGGTACCGTTTGCTGTTCGGTTATTCACAGTTTACTACACAACAAAACTAACTATATTTACTAAGTAGTGACTTCTTTTTCATGTAATTACATCACAAGTCTTTAGGATCAAGGACAATATAGCTGGCCATCTTGCGGGTAAAGAGAAGAATGAGCGACAGGATATAAAAGCATGCGCCCGATGATAACCAACCTCCAATGTAGCATCATGAGGCAAATTATAGTAGTCAATCTTTCCCTGGGTGTTTCTCGACAAGGTATCATATAATGCTCGCCGAATGCGATCCAGCCATCGTGCTTTTTCTCCGGATTGAATGAGTTCCCTACCGACGATAAACACAACTTTATCGTCTTTTGCCATTCGAAGACCCCGCTTTTTGGCACGCTCCATTGCACTGACCACATTGATAGATCGTTCAGCGTACCCTACGAGAAGTGGATCATCAATAACGGTCTCACTATTGCACCTCGACACATCGATTTAAATTACCGTAAGAAATGACCAGTCTATAAATCCCCGCCATGGCATCAATGGTTCGGAAGACCGTCTTTTCCTCGTCTGCAACAAACGGAGCTGGTTGACTGACTGCAGTCATGCAGACGATATTCATCGGTAGACTGTTGAGTCTTCTGGCGCAAATATTAAGGACGTTGGGGACATCCTCGTCCGTGTTGCTGACAAACACAACGGTGCCGTGGGTTCTAGTGATGGCCTTCACATGCTGTCTCAGCTCGCTCATAGCAAGCAGCCGATCATGGAGCCAGTCGTTGACTTCGCGCGTGGTTACGTACCAGGTGTACATCAATAGAAAGATGAACATGGCAATTAGAAGCGATACCCAGCCCATAGAGGTAACTTTACGCATAGAGGAAGCGAAAAGGAGGAGATCTATACTCCAAAACACAATAGCGTATAGAGCTACTTTCCACCGGGGAAGATTCCACCCGTACAACATGACAAGTCCGTACAGGAAGGAGGTTACTGTCATTGATCCACTAATACAGATACCTACCCGTAGAAGAGCGACATAAGGTGCAATGATCCTTCCGAAAACAATTCAACTACCTACCAGCAATATTCGCCAGCCCTTCTGAGCTTTGGAATGCCAAAGTTAAAGAGATGGATCCTATCCAAAGAAGAAAATTGACAAATGGAATGTAAACTTCGCTGCCATTGTCGATGCTAGGATGCTTGGTTTTGATGTTTGGGAACGCGTTAAACGATATCTTTTGGCAATGTCCAGGAGGCAGTGTAAGTCAATCGTACGAGACAGCGACGTTCCAACTTTACATACGGATTGATCAATCAAGGTAACGCAACCGGTGATCGCTCCTTGGGCAGCCAAGATGGCTGAGAAAATGAGTGGACCCAGTTAGTTGAAGATTTCTCACAGTCTCGGACGGTTTACGGGTATGTGACTTGCCTGCCATCGTTGCAATGACTAGAACAGGCCATTTGACAGCGCTAGGATTCAAGGGAACATGTAAACTGTAATGTCGGCACACCCGAATCAATGAGGAAGCGTACCTTGGAACCGAATGGAAAAAGGGGTCCCGAGCTGCTTCCGGATGTAGGATAACATATGCCGCTTGGCTAAATCACATCATCTAGGTCAAGCAGATGCAAATTGTACAGGCAAAAGGAGCGTCATACCCTATGTAACTCAACATGATGGAAGGATAGACGACACCTAAAAATGACAGCCGGATGGGAAGAGCCGAAAAGTGTCCCAGATCCGCATACAGAGCCTCTACTCCAGCCATGGCTAATACGCTAGATTACAATACAGTCAGCACCATTGCAATCATATGAGGATTCCAACTTGGCAAACCACCTACTTACACATGACTCAGCAAGAAAAAGCCTGTCAACGGTTCATCTTGGATATACAGTCCAAGATAATGCGGACTGATAGCTGCAAAAACTTTGGGATATTGAGAAATGTTGTAGAGTCCGATCATCGCTATTGTGAGGAACCACACGACAAATATAGGTCCGTAAAACTTCTGGGTAGAGGAAGTTCCAAACCGTTGCACATAGAAAACAAGTGTGAGGATGGCACATGTGCAGCCAACTCCCCCCCAAGCGCTAAATGAACTATGAAAAGAAGGAAATGTTACCAACTTGATCCTCTTGCTGGACGTTTGAGTTGTTCACACTTACCTAGCGTACTCTTTGACTCCTTCAAAAGCGGCCAGTACGGTTATTGCCGGTGCTATTACGGCATCAGCGACAATGAAACTGGCAGCAAGTAATCCAAGTACATAGATATATTTCCGATATTTCGCCAAAACCGAATCATCGCCTTCCGTGGGCAACAACGAAATTAACGCCCAAGTGCCCCCCTCCCCGTTTTTGTCCGCTGTAAACGAATATGCACCAATTTCAATACATGCAACCGGATTCGAGGTTTTTGGGTTATACCTTTCAGTATCAACCAAATGTACTTCACACAGCACACTAGAGTGACAATCCAGATCAAGAACGACAGAGCCCCGAGGACGTGCTCATCGCCGTGCTCCGTACTTGCGGAATGGTCCTCCCCCGAAAAAATGGTCTTAAGGACAAAGAGCGGGCTGACAGCAATGTCGCCGTATATGATACCTGGCACGCCAGCGACAGTCAATCGATTGCTTTGGGCACGTTGTGCTTACAAGAAATATGTGGAACGTACCAAGTGCACCCAAACTGAGCTTTAACACTTTTCTCGCGCTCATGTTGTGATCTATTCGAGGCGGTGGTGGAATACAAAGCGCGGCACCCAGCGACATTCGTCTTCCACCCTGAGCCAATGGTGTTCCGGATCTTTTCTTCCGTTGCGTTAGAGTTGCGCCATCATTGAACGGGTTGTGGAAAGGATCGGCACCCTGCGCATTGACCGGATTAGGACTAGTTGAAGCTGATGAGATGGGTTTAAAATCTGGTAAAGGGGACATCAAAGCCGTTTTGATGATTTCGGGTGCGGGCACAAGCAATGATATGTTATTCTTTTGAGACGCTTTCATATCGATTTCCAAATTGGAAGGCTGGGTCAATAGGACCGTGGGTTGAGGCATTGGCCGAGTATCTGTTTCATCAGAGGCCTTCTTCAAACTTTCCGTGTCTGGCGTGTTGTCTTGTTTGCTTTCCACAGGCCGATGTCCGCCTTCCAGATCCTGCGACCATCGCACAGATTGCTTTGATGCAGTTATTGAATTGCTTGCAAGCATAAGAGATGACGTCCGATGAGAAGATGGAGACGGTGGTATAGAGGCTGGTCCGCTGGATTTTCTCCGGTGGGAGCGTGGCCGAGCATGAGTCAAATCAAGATTGGATTCTCTACTTGATGGCAAAGGAACATCAAGACCTGCAGTGGATCGGCCGATGCGGGATACAGCAAGACTGCCGGATTCAAGATCCTCTTCCGTGGTCATTTCTAGAGGACTGAGGTGGGTGTCAGAGGCTGAATTATGAGGAATTTGGAGCGTTGGATTCGAATATCTCGGGTCCCTCTCCAAATCCTCCAACCTTCCCTCTTCCGGAAACAATCCAATTTCTTCTATCACACCGTCATGGGACATGATAGCCAGATGCAGCCAACACTTCTCGGGTAGAGTTCACCACGAAAGTAATCGGACGGTTTTGTAGGCAGTACATATATGATTGACCATTGAGATAAAAATAGCACTTGGGTCTAGCACCTTATGTCATGGAGCCGGAAGGGTTTTTTAAGGATATCTTAGAATGTCTGGGTCGGCATGTGTGCGTTACCGTCTATTGAATTTATGGTCCAGCATAACTATAAATCGGTTACACACCTGGGCCCGCTTCCGTCCATAGCTGAGTCAATTCCGATATCGCATTGTTATTTATTACAAAGTAGTACGGTCTAAAATATGCGCTTTCTGATTGTTACTTCCGCTATTGACTCTTTTTTAAGTCTCGGCCCGTGCGAATCGATACAATAGGAACTAGAACTAGTCCAAATACAACCGTGTGCCCCACTGCGAACCCCACCAAAGGTGCATATTTTCCAGCCCATCCATGCTCAAAGTAAGATATATCATCAACGTAATGAGTATTCATCGCAAGTCCCCATGCACAGCTAATGGCGATAAAGTCAACAACGGCCGTTCTTAAAATGTATGAAAGAACGTTTTTCTTAATTTGGCCAGCAGAGATAGATACGTTGCCTGCTGCGTGCCGCTTCGACAACTCCTGAAAGGTTTCCGACGCCAAGGTGTACATGAGATAGTAAATCACAGGCACAAAGATGGTACCCATGGCAAGTAGTGTGTTGAATACTGGGGAGAAGACGAATTGCGTCATCTGGAAAGTGATGCCAGCTTTCCAATCCCTATATGTACCGGGGTATGTGAACCGATAGTATCTGAAACAGGTTGGTCAACATAAAAATACTTTTTGATATGACACTTTGGTATACTGACCCCATACCCAAAATCGCTGTGAAGCACGAGTAAGCGTGAATCCAGTATTTGTGGTAGGAAGGATCACGAGCTAGATTGTCTCGGTGCGCGCGAATGTGATTGTAAGTAACGTAAAAGCCGAGAATTCCCAAGGCGGAATTAGTGAGAGTAAACGTTGTTGTCAGGAGGGGTGGAATGGCATCCCTTCCGGACGTGAATATGAACATTGATTCCTTGGGTTGTCTGGGTTAGAGGGCCGCCAAAGTGAACGTCAACAATCTCTTACCCATCCAGGAAACCTGTCAAGCAAATAGGTACCAGACGGAACAAACAGGAGTGAAAGGAAAAGCAGCGTCAAAACGAATGGACGGTTCACAAACGGGGAAGGAGAGACGGAAAGCGTGGAGGCAGCACAGGCTGCAAACGACGCGCCAAATGCTGTTGGAGCAGGGGTGTAGGATATAATCCGTAAACCTTTCAACGAAGAGTAAAGCGGCAGTGAAAGAAGGTAGTAGCTCACCGAAAGACCAGAAAACGTCGACTTCAATCATGATGTTGCGGAAGTATAAATTCACAGAGAAAATGAGGCTAGCTTTATTTTTTCGACAAGGAAATGTATGCAGAACTACAGCTTTTTAAAAGAACAGGTTTGCCAAGAAACCAAGGTTGGCGGGAAGCAAAGTTGTTGTGTGTTTCCACAAGGCATAAGCTAAACTCAAAAGCATGTCCCCTTTCCGTCACCTGTGCACACATGCCAGGTGTTACTATGTTGTATGATTGTTTGGGTTTTGGCGAGTTTAAGACAACCAGCCTACAGCTGGGAGAGATGCCTTCCTTTCACCTACTTAGTTAGTTACCTGCACACTGCGTACTCCTTTTGTATGTAACAGTACCCCATTGACACCCGGCAGAGTGTTCCAACCTTTGCAAACGGCGGGATGTTGGACAACTTGCTTACTCATGCACTGCAACCGCACTAATTCAAGCGCGTGATCGACAAGGTTTGTGAGCAAACGACAACTCCGACCAAACTTCCTAGTCCTCCAAACTCACCGGTAAAAGAAACTTTCTGCTTGCTCTCCGCCTTTTTGTTGTTAGGCTACCTTTTAACGATTCGCCACCATGAGGTACGGCGCCGAGAATACCTGGCTGCGGAATCTATCCTACTTGTGCTAATGTTTTTCGAATAGTTTGGTGCAGCTGTTGGACGACTCGTATGACTCCACAACGGATGACGACGACTTTTCGCCTCCTGAGAACGCATTGCAAGATATGTCCTCCAGTGAAGGTTAGACAAATATTTGCAGACATCTTTAAATCTTTTGCCCACACTTTCTGCATCATTGACAGATCTACAAAGTGATGATACTACCAAGTATCTCCCATCACCAATAAGCACCAAAAAGCGGAGAAAGCGGCGTGCATCATCATTGGAAATTCACGCATATCCTAAGAAGAGGCTAAAGTCATCACCCAGTGAGCGGTTCACCAATGGTACCGCGTTTGATCTGTGTGGTCAATTTAGCGATTCCGAGGAAGAGGGGGATGGAGATTTTCTGCCAGGCGATGATGAGATGGATAGCGACAATGGAAACAGTGACGATGACGAAAGCGACACACTGGACGATGACGAAGATACCCAGTCGGACTCTACATTTCCCACATTAAAAATGACTAATCACTCCCCGCATTACAATGAACAACGGTCCCTTCGGTCAGCCAACCTCGACATTCCAGTTTTTACCTCAGATTTTGACGCATTTGCAATATCCCGAATGAAAGCTCACCAGGAGGCTCAGGAGACTCTGTCAAGTACCGTCGTGGACACCACGGAGAAAGCGAAAGCCCACGCATCCGTGAAAGATAAATATGACAAAAGCAAGAAGACCCTAACACGGATAGAAGCACAGGTTGAAGCATCTAGACAGAAATTATGGGGTGTCAAAGGTGGCCTGGCCGATGTTTTCAAGGGCGTCTATGAGGGAGTTGTTAAAAGAATGATTGCACGAGCTGCTGTCGACAAGTCTGGAATGGTAGAATGGGATCACCGCGATGGAAGGACATTGGCAAGCTCCCAAGTCTCTCACTTTGTGCGGGTCCTCGCAAAGGAAATTCGAGAAGCAAGGTGTTGAATAGATTCAAAACATCGCTTGCGCAGGTGTGGCACAGTATGCTTGCTAAGCAAGGCTGATGACTTGAACAAGTTGCCTGGCCAGATTGTTATCTCTACCTGAACCTTGCATGTCCTGCTGCAAAATGAAATCCCTTCCACCAACTCCACTGCCGACTTTGGGCTGCTCTCTCGTCTCTTTACCTCTAGAGCTTCAGATACCTATCTTTGCATTTCTAGAGCTTGAAGCCCTTGCGAATCTTTCAGCGACCTGTAAAACTCTCCACACACTCATTTCTGAATGTGAGCATATATGGCGCAGTGTTTGCAGGGCCCGTTGGCGGGATTTGGATCACTTCCTGCCAGAGGATGGACAAGGGTGGAGGAAGTTGTACGTACGAAGGATGCATCGAGATAGAGAGATTACCACTGGACGGATAAGAATCGGAGAATTGCGAAGAAGAGTACGAGCGGGAGAAGCACAGGTGTGTATTCTATATGTGAATAACCAATGGAATACAATGCCATATCTGTGCCTGATGCTTCATGACTCTGTTGCTCTCAGCTTTACCATAACAAGATGGTAGTCAGCGGAAGCATCCGTGGTACAGTCTTGAAAGCCCATCTCCGTGGCGGATCGGATGGACCATGTACAACTGCGACAGTTGCAGAGCCAGCTGCTGGAATATCTGTTTTGTATCGGTATGTCCTGCCTCTTATTGACCAGCCATACTTTGATGCTTTATTCTAATCGGACTCGACTTAGGGGAGCGATCAATTGCCTCCAGGTCCATCGCGGTATCATTGCTACCGGATGGGAGGTAAGAAAAGCGTTGTTTTATTAATACTTCATACAATGACTTATTACTTGCGTGCTCAGAACTACACAACGTTGACCTCTCGTCAGTCAGACGGCACCATTAAAATTTACGATCTTGAATCCCTTCGTCCACTGACAGTACTGTCTTGTACGGGGATGTCGGCCGTAACAGCTCTCCGCTTCAACTCTCGCCGCCTCGTTGCAGGCGATAAATCAGGCGTGCTACGCAGCTGGACATTGGCGCCAAGAGGAGAAGGTGGATCTTTGGAGAAAGTCATGTGGCCGCAATTTCGACGACCAAGTGGGAGCATGGCAAGAAATGGATCAGATGCAGATACCATGATACTTGATGTACAGGTGAGCATGCAAAAGATCCTTTGAAAAACCTCATATGTTAACATTTACTGTTTTCAAGTTTACATCAACCCACGCTATATCGCGGACCAAGGACGCACTTCATGTGTACAATATCCAAACAGGGACACCCATTCAGATTCTTCCCACCAGTCGATCCACCCGGCCAACAGCAACACATATAACACCCACGCACCTTGCAATGGGTGGATCTGACTTTGGGCTCCGCGTATACTCCCTACGCACAGGGCTGCGACGTACAGCAGTTTTACCACATGACTCACAAATAACTTGCGTTCAATTCGCTCCAGAGAATGGAATTATGGTCAGCGGTGATGATAGGGGCATGGTCCGGGCTTGGGAAATTGGAAGTTGGACATGTATTGGACGATATGCTGTTGGAGGATCTGTTGGTGCTGTCGAGATTAGAGGTTTGGGGAATGGTGGTGGAAAACCTGGCGAGTATGTCATCATTGTTGTAGGAGTCGATGGGAAGGTGCAAGTATGCGGGAATGAAGGTTTTGTGCGACTGGCAGAAGCGGAGGTGGAGTCCATGGAATATGCTTTGAATAAGCTGAACAGCGCAATTCCGTGTATGTCTGTGGCAGGATGAATAGTGCTCGTCCTGTGTTATCATTTTGTCATCTTCCACAAATTTGTATATACAATTTATCATCCAGCTAGATTCTGAATAAGAGTTTTGGTACTTTGAACACTGGATCCGGATACACATGCAGCTGTCAATCGAAAAGAAATGGTCTGATCCTGTCCATAGTGGTCAGCGGAGCAATTTTAGCAGGATTATGAACAGGTACGACAATGGCTCACCTTATGATCATAGACTCGAACAATGCTTCCTTCTATTTCTTTCCCTATAATCGCATCTAGGACCTCACGTTGCTCATCCAAAGCGAGCCGCACAAACTCTGAGGGTGTGACTGCCAGAATATCCTATAATCCGAAAACTTAAGACTTTGCATGGCTGTTTTCACGGTGCTAGTGTTCCACATTCCTACCTCAGCAACACCCAATCCGACATCAACCTCACAACATCCTGTTGCATCGTCCAACACGAAGCGGAGGGTATACGTGACTTTGCACTCTTCAATAAACTGAGCGCAGAACGGGCAGTAAAGTACTGCCTCATCAGTGGTTTCTACGGGACGGTTGCACCGCGGGTCTTCAGAATCAAGTTAGCATCGCTGAAACGAGGTACGACAGGGTATGCCTCCAAAATGTCTACGCACGGATTGAAATCGTGGTCCGGCCACATTTTCCTTCCGCCCAGGTGGAGATAACCGCGCGACAGTAGAAATTATGCCGCTTTTCCGCCAGGGCCGCTGATACTCGCATGATGTTGCGAAGAAACGGGGAGCACAGAAAGCCAGTTGATGAGCTAACTAAAGCGTTTGCCTGGTGCATGAATACAAATTTCCGCGCATGACCGAGTGTTGACAGGTCATCCTCACCATTCCACGCTTTTGTACCCAACTCCACCTTTCCAAAGACGTCAAAACGCTTCTTCACTAACTTCCCCGGTTGCCCTCTTGCAACACGTTCCGTTGTCGCGAGCCCTTCAAGGAGCAGCCAGTCCCCAACAAATGCATTTGACGTGGCGGCTTGCCCAATATCATCCCATAAGGTGATATCACAGTACCCTATTCGGAGACAAAGGACCATGGTTATAAATTGCGACGTCACATGCAGATTTCAGCACAATGCTCACCGGACTCATCTGTTAGCCGGATTCCATACCGACTTACTTTGATTCCCTCGTTTTCAAAGGGCATCTGATATGGACGACATATTTGTAACCTCATCACTGCCGTCGCTTTCTCGCATACGCATCCGCAGCACTCACATTGGCTATCACTTCCAAGACTTTGCCAAAGATGGTAATGTTTATCATCTTAGGGGCAAGCTCCGTGATAAGTAACCGGTTGGGATACCATTTGAAATCCAAAATGCCCTGCGATCCGACAATGTTGACTGCTCAAATACGGCATAATCTTTCAAACTGACACATAATATGCATACCTGTGCATCTCGTGGAACAGCATGTTGACTTGGCTGACTCGCCATGCTACACATTAGTTCCATTTCCTACTGGGCAGGAGAAAACAGAGGTCACTTGTCTCCGAATACATTACGGCATGAGGCTACCGGCTGTACCTTCGTAGGGTCCATAGGAATTACAAATATCACGGTTTGGGACCCATATTCGAGCGTTATCGAACGCTTATCATCCCTCCCGGCTTGCCGCTCAACCGTCACGTAAGGCCGCCATATCGCTAACCAATCGCCCTGAGCGTACTCGCGATTTATTGCCATGAAAATAAACAACGACTGCGTTTCACGACTCACCTTTCGGAAAAGGGATGCCAACCCAATTTGCTCATCCCACAAGACCAGACATGCGTTCTCTTCCACGGAAGTGTCATTCACGTACACATGAAGCCTCTGAGACGACCGTGAGATCGGGCAGCGTGAACTGTTCCTATTTGATGAACCTGCCAGCGGATTGAACAGGGGAACGTACGTCCTCGTTAGCTTGAGTCAAAGGCCAAAACAGTTGCGTCGACGATTTTGGATCCATTTACGCAATACCATACCAGGTACCTTGACTAGAAAAGCAAAGCTCCTTTCTTCCTCCACATCGGCCGCAGCAACGTGGGACAAGCTTTCATCAAATCTGTCGCTTAGAAACTTTTTGTCCTGATCATCGGATTCCGACAACAGAAACACCATGTGCTCGGTTGGCAAAAGTCGCGTACCACCAACAGGAGTAGTTACAGAGCGTGTGCCTGTAATGCGGACCTGACGATGCTAAGGAGCAAGGTTGGTGAATTCCTTCGCTTAGCGCAAAACTAGAAATGCTAGGACACCTTTTCGAGAAAGTCTCCAGCGCATTCATCAGCCAAGAAGCAGAACTTTTGGTGGAGATACATGTCGATACTCCGACGAGATCCAGGATCAGATAGAGTTACCATGTGTGCACATCATAGTTAATGATAATTAGATTGGACATGACTGAACGCGCAAAGTCCCAACGGAAAGGATATGAGTTCTGGTTCCTGGCAACACTTGCACTTTCAATGTCACGACTTCAAACATTGCTTCCGGAGGCACCGCTTTCCCATCTACAAAGGCATCAAGTGTCTCAAACCCTAGAGCAACGGCCAGAAGGCTTTGTTCGTTGGGGCACTGCGACGAATATGCAAATGTGCACAATTAACTCACGTTTCGACACTCCTCTTCTGACTTCAGCGCTACATTCATCCCACTAGCAACCAAAGACAAACCGTAAGATGCACACTTATGTGAAGTTGCGACACGGTGCGCTTCCCCTCACCTGCACTTCCAATTCTGCATTCACAATTGCTTCGGTTAATCCTGACGGATACTGGCCAAGGAGAACCAGCAGCCGGGTGAACACCCAACTCCTATAATAGTGCACTATTCAGTTCACACCACAATTGGGAGACAGAGAACGTAATGCAAAATGTCCGCGAACCAAGGCACAACATCGCTGTCCTGCTCTCCGTTCTTTGATACATTGTCTTTCTGGTCTAATCTTTGCAGTTGCCTTCGCGTCTCCCGTTCTGTCAACCGCTTGCGTAGCTTGGTCACTGCCTGTTCAAAGTCATTTATCATACTCATAGGACAGAAGATAGAAGATCTCAAATGTAGATCGTTCAGTCATGATGATCGAGGTGGCGCAGCATCAACCAGACATGGCAGCAAACCCTAACCCTAACCCTAGCACTATCTATATCCCTCAGAACGTTTGGAACGCCATGAAAATATAGCATCTGGAAAATCGGCAACGGGTGCATACCCGGGGCGGCTTAAAGAACTTCAAGCAGAAAGGAACACCACCACAGAAGCCTGCACTTCAAGTGAACGAAAGTCTGCATATGAACATAGTGGCTGGCAAATGCGTCGTTATAGGTGACAAGGAGGAGGGCCATTAAATTAATCCCTACACATCGACTTCTGAATCCAAATCCATCTCTCCATCGTCTACACTGGGTGGGAGTACGTCCGAGCCCTTGTCATCATCCTCTATGTCACCTATCCCGGAAACTCCGTCATCGCTCAGTACACTGCTTGTCCCTAGCGTGTCTGTGGGATAAAATAATGCCGATTTTTCATCGTCAATCACCGCAGATCCATTCTCGGACCAATCTGGAATATCTGAAGCCTTTGGTGATGACGCGTGAGTGTGATGGGTGTGAGGGGCAGGAAGGAGATGACCATTTGGAAGGTGTTGCGTGGGTGTGGCTGACGCTAGTGGTGATGCAGAGGGCAGTGCAAGCCCTGCCTTTTCCACTTTGGGGTTGACTCGCTTAGTTCCTCTGCCTTTAATTTCCTCAAACTGGAAAGTTTGAAAAGTCAGCATCGTGATGAAGATATGGATGAGAATATACATACCCGCTGCCAGACATAATTTTCGCATTTGTCCGCGTTTGGGAGGTCTTGGATAAGTTTGGATACCGTAGGATGTGAAAACCCAAAGTAGTCTGGGCCTGACGCGCTGTTACTGTGTTCCCGTTTACGCACAGCATTGGCAACTGGTAGTACAGACAAAAAAGATATCAGAATCAAGACGGCTGAAAGGAACAAATTCACTGTGCAGTACCTCGGATGACAGATGTCCAAGCGCCAGTTGCCGTTACAGCAGTTACACCTTTGTCTGGAGCATCCTCAGGTGTGACATGGAAGCGTGGTCCATCCACACCATCCGTCACAGTGCAGGTGTAAGTTACTGTTTTCTCTGCGTCGATCATGCTTGCATATGGTCTGCAATATAAAGCATGAAGTGAGAACTCATGAATGATTTGATTGCAGCAAATCACGATGCAGGTGAGAAAAGGCCATACCGTGTAATAGTATAACCAACGGGATAAATATAGCGTTCGCTATGGAATTGCTTGCGATCATAGACAACCTCGCCCAAATTATATATGGTCAGAATTCCGACCTGGAGGGGTAAAATTGGCTTTCCAGAGTCATCCACAGGTATATGCTGTATTTTGCGGAGTTTTGCTTTCACAGGAGGTCGCTTTACGGCAGGCTCCTTGCGGGCACGCTTTGCTCCTGCCTTGTTAGGTGTAGGCTCGCGGGATGATGGTAGTTGCTGTATATTTATATGTGGTGGATAAACTGCATGGTAATCAGCCTGTGATTTGAAGACTGTCGACCTCTGGGGTCCGTGGGGTGAGAGGTGCGACTCGTCTATATCAAAGAAAGAGTCCGGTATGAGTATGGCCAGATGGCATTTTTGGTAGCAGATCTGTCCGATCTCTTGCTTGACGATGGTTTACCTGAGGGAACTGAAGAAACGTCCGATTCCGACTCACTACTGCTTGAGGTGAGGTCTGTATCGCTTTCTGACGAACTTGGCCGTTCATATCGCTCTAGACGATCTAGCAGCAATCTACAGATGATTGTAAAAACATGAATTTTGGCAAGATGCGACGGAAACCACCGCTAATAACATACTCTTTTTCCCGTTTGAGCTGCATAATCTTTGTACGGGCTTTCTTTAGGCGAGAGGTCATTCGGTCATGTTCCTGAAAAAAGACCAAAAGGTGCAGGTTTCAGTACCAGGCATGATACCGTCAATACAGGACCTTTTGAGGCTAATCGAGGCCCGACGCTTCCTCTCGGTCGCTGGATACTCACCTCCAAAACCTCCTTTAGCTACGAGGATAGTGGTAAAAATAAAGGTAAAACACACGCCATAAGCAAACCTTTCAAACACGAGAACTGGCGCACTACATTGTGGACATGTACCTTTCGCTTCAACTGTTTATATTTCTCCTCACTGGGGCCGGAACTCTTGTCCTTTCTGCTCTTGGGTGTGGCCGAAGGTGCCATTTAGCCAGCAATGTGTGTGATGGGAATTCTTTGTAGTTGGGAATGGACAAGACTGCGCTCCTTTTGGTAAACGCTAGAATCTGGATTTACCCAGCGTCCCACGTTCCTTTGTTTCCGAAATGTTCCTTGCGACAAAAGCTGGGGGACTGCGCCTTGAATGTATTTTTCAAAACGGTTGCTAAATGAGGGAACGGTTTTATGTGCGGGGGAGGCGGTGTGTGTGGTTCTCGCAGGGCCAGCGTCCTTTGTGACTCGCTAGGGTTCAGAAGCAGAGATTCTATTGTGTACTTTATGTAAAACAAGATGAATGCGAGATGATGATGAAAAGTCCTACTCCTACTCTTTACAAAAGAAAACCAATTCTCCAAGAAAAAAAAAAAAGTTCCTTTTATAAACGCGTCCCGTTGCGTTCCTTTTTTTCAAAACCTTTGAGCCTAATAACCCTTCTTCCAACTTGCCCCCCTCCAACAAACCTCCCAACGGGCAAAAAGGCAACAAAAAGCGCAGAGTTCAAAACAACTTTAGAAAATCAACACAACGAATCCAAGAGATTGGTAACAAATATTTGGATCATTTGGATCTGTGGGTTCGAAACTGGATGCCCACACTCAGTTTTCTTGTTTTTTTATTTCAAGTTACAAGATTATTTAATTGCAGCAGGTTTACTGCGCATTATGTTACCAGTAAATAAAGAGATAGATCACAAAATTCCATTGGCATAATACTAGTAGAACGATTAACATGTTAGCACCACACCCGTTTGAAGCATCCAGTACATTGCCTGACCTGAAAAGAGTCGTACAGCCTCGTGTACGCACTATTGCAACTCCGCTCCACTAACGAGTCCACTAGATTACCAAATTCCGTCTCAGATAGAGACAAGTGGAACCGATCCTTCAACGCAGCTCCCACTGGGTACTTTTCGGGTATAGGTGTAAACGATGTCGTTTTGGTATCAATAGGGGGAGGCAATGTGGCCCGAGCAGCATCCGGTGACAGGTCGCCTTCAGATCCCAAAAAGCTTAAAAATGACGAGGTAGTTGCGGTTGGGGGAACGGGAACATTGGAGGGTTTGGCAGAGGCGCCGGTGAAACATGGGAGGCTTGATCCATGCTCCATCATTTCTACAAGTGAGACAATATCATCGGCCTTCTTCCTTAGCGCAAAAAATGCTTCCTTCATCAACGCTCGGAACTCGGTAAACTTATCGCTCCCAACACCCCCCAGAATATCTACATAATCTTGAGGGAGCTTGAAAGGTGCCAATTCGAAACCCAGCGATCCAGGGCTATTCGACAGCATGAAGCCAAAGTCAATGTGGATAACATGCCCCTGAATGTCGATGAGGATATTGCCGTTGTGCCTGTACACACTGTCAGTATCGTGGGATGCGCGGATTTATATTGTGGTACCCACCGATCCTTAATTTGAAGTAAATAGCAGATCACAGAGTACGCTGCCAAACTCCGCATGAAATTGTCTTGCGCCTGTAGAAAACGTGTGCTGCCAGGATTTCCAAACTCCTACAATTGCAATTCGCCAAGTAGAATCAGTACATGCGTGTTCGACAAGCAAAGTAGTAACTTGATAGCGGACCTTTACAAAGTAGTCATACAAGGTAAACGCCAATCCTTTCTCATTCAAATGTTGCGCATATCCATTCTTCTTAATAGAATGAACAGAAATCGCGTCTCGAATAGTTTCCACAATTCCCGATTGCTCAGACGTTATGAGAATTCGGAAGCTGTGAAAAGCCCAAGCGTTGTCGCACCGTTAAATGAGTGTCGCATCGAGTTGGCACGATGATGATGCTTACTAGCACACCCAGACCGGCACGCCCGCCTCCCGCCATATTCTTTGCATCTCTTTGATGAGCTGTAGCGCCAACTGTTCCTGCCGTAGATCGGCCCCCGATTTAACGATTACTGATAATAATCGCCAATTTGGATCCTTTCCATAAGGGGAGGAGGCGCGTATTCGCTCAACCTTTTCGTCCCATGTTTCTCGGAATACCGCAGCTACAAGTAGATAACGTTCACGCGTCCACACGTTGACTTAAAAAACACTACGGGCCGCCCGCTAATATACTGCTTACCACTGGGATCATCCTTATCCCGCTCCTGACACTGTGCACGTAGAGTTGCTTCTTCTTCTTCAGGGAGAATCTCATCCGTAGCCCCCTCCACCATCATTGGAACCTTTTGGCGCTCTTTCAACTGGGCAGCCAACGCCTCTACTCGCTTTTCCTCCAGAGTAACCATTTCTTTGATCAGTCTGTTGCGTATCTGCTCAAAGTCTGCTTTTAGCTTTTGATAGTTCCGTCGGTCTTTTGGTGTAACGGATGGAGACACAGGTCCAGGATGTGTGCCGGTGTTTCCTTGAGGGACGGCGCTCAACCAGCCCACGTGTCCTGGAAGTCCTCCGGCACCAACAACCACTGGTGATTGAGGCAACGATGGCGGAGAAGACAAGGGTAGACTTTGCGACATCAGCTCGCGCTGCTGTTGCTGATACAGCTGTGCCAACATAACCGCAGCCGTCCGCATTCGTTCAGAGAATTCCTCAACCGCGGAAGGAATCGGCTTTATGTTGTCGGCCTTTTCGTCGAGATCCAGCTGCGTAAAGGTCTCTTGCTCATAAGGACTGGCGGATGCTTTAGAGGACAGAGAGGCAACAGATTTTCGCCGATGTATCACTTCCCTATGATAATCAACGGAACTGCTGTCTATTGGCGGATTTATCAAATCTGTACCATATGAGTTCCTTGTTTTGGACTATACAGCCTTCTCCCGCACTTTTGCATACCTGAATCGCTGGAAGTTATTTGCTGGCTTTCTCTTTCGACTTCACCATTGGGTAGTTCCACTGAACCTTCAATCAGCGATGCTGTGGCTTGTCCTTCATCACTTGCATGGCAGCCATTTGTGGCGGTCATGTTATCTTGGTCCTGTGTTTCTGTTGTGTCCAGGTTGGTAGTTGACGCACAGCTCGCCTGGGGGTTATTTTCCAGTACTTCAACCGTAATCAGGAACGGTACCTACCAGCAGCAGCCTTAGTATTGGAAAATCCAGCATACGCGGAGCTAACCCAAGCTAGATACTCCACTGGACTCACCCTGTCAGCCGAATTCAACACCACAGCATCAGATGGACTAATTCGTGCCACACGATGATGGAATGCATGTGACCCGAACGTTTTACACCACATTGGTATACACACATTCGCTGGTAGATTGTGATTCAAAAGCGCCAACTCTGCAACAAGCGTGCTTTGTCTCGCTTCCTTTGGTACCGTGCGCAAGCGATCGGATATTTCCACCAATGTCATCATGAACTGCAGCTCGGAATGGAAGTAATGGCTGGTTTTGAGATGCCGTTGATCGGAAAGAACGTTCAGACTCTCCAATGACGGTTCATCAGTCCGTGACGTGCTTGAATGGCGATTCAGACACTCCGCGGATGCAGATGTTGAAAGGCTCATTGAATGGGTAAAATTTCCAGATGCTTTTGCAACATATCGATTGAATGAAAATGCTCCTCCACGAGAGAGTTCATCCGGGGTTGCAGATCCAGTTGGGATCCGTGCGAGTAGCTGTAGTCCCCTGTGCTTAGACGATCCGCTGTCTGTAGAGTGGCGTCTTCCCATTGCCGCCGCTAGCCCTCGCTCGTACTCCCTTGCATCTTTCACAGATTCTGAGCGTCGGGTGGCTAAAGATGTCTTGGATCCATGATTGCTTTCTTCCACTACCTCTCCTGGATCTGATGCAAGCGTTTTCCATCTTCGACCCTGACTAATAATCATACTCGCCCCTGTCTCGACAACTAGCGGGCACACTCCTGCCGCCAGAATAGCTCCAATGCCGATAACCGCCGGCCTGACGTTCTCGCGTATTCTCTTCGTTTGAAAGATATCTTTGAAGGAGGTATCGGACTTTGGGGTCAGGGGGGCGTCCGCAAACACAATGGCCTGGCACTTGTAATATAGCCGTTGGCACAATCGAAATGACTCTGTGTTTGGCGACCCGCGCATGTCACTTAGGTGCGATTGTAAATACCATAACGTCTATCATTCGGGAAGGGAGATGAGATGCCTTTCATACAAATTCGCGTATAGCTCTGCCACATAACTACATACCAACAGAGCTGCATGGGTGGATTTTCGACATCGCTTTAATAAAAAGTTTTCCAGTGCGACCGACTCGGTACGACGGCTGATTAGCAAATGACTGAAGGGATAAGTAGCATTAATATTATTCACATATATGTTCATTTGTTACATACTGTCCGTATCCTCTAGCTAGTGACAGATTGGATCCACACGTAAACCCAACTTTTGGGATGGAAATAGGAGAATACCAACCATAACTGAGGTAAATAAAAATCCAACTCTTCCTCATCAAATTCCTCCAGCCGTTCACATATATAGTGTTGTATTCCAACGCTTTCTGGATATCTCGATATATACAAGAGAGCCAACCGGGAATTAAAGAACTCGCTTTGAAACAGCCGTAATAGCAAGCTACTTGTCTGCTGCTTGCCACTATTACTGTTAGACATGCTGTGGATGTGAGTTTCAAGGTGCAAAGGAGGGCGAGAATAGGACGAGGTGTCGTTGCTCGCAGTTTGTAAACCCCGCTGATCGTTGATACAGTGACGTTGAGAGCTCACTGACGAGCAATGGCAACGCGCGCAAAAGAAAGCTCGGTAGCCCCTATTGATGCTTACGCTTGTGCCCTCTAACGTATCCCATCGCCCGTCAGAAGGGAGGAAATCCGGTGGTTGAACACAGCGTTGGGTAACTTGCGAAGCGGTCCACATCTTGCCTTGTGCACGTGATAATGTGGCATTGTTCACATAGGCCTCCCTACCTGGACTTTCGGCAGAAGGTATTGTGTAAATAATACTGCAGTGATGACAACAACAGCGCTGTTAATAGGGGTAGCTCTACATTGACGGATAGGAGAAAGCTCTGCACCGTGGTGGGTAGCCTCTAGTTGAGCTCACAATGGGGTTGAATATATCTTATAGTGTAGAGGTGACAGAAACTGGCACTAGCTACTACACCAGGGAATAAACCGGCGACAACCGGTTCGGAAAAGCTAACTAACTAAGCTACTACTAGGCAATTATACACGCAATACGTAACGGTTGGTTTTAACCGGATAACTGCCCACCACCACACGCGGTCGCCTTGATCCAGAACTCTTGATGGCATTGAAGCCAGACTCTTGCATCCAGGAGCGAATCGACTGGGCAGCGTCACAAGCTGGAGGATTTTCAGTGACAAGGCTTGGAGACTAAAACTGCATGTCAGAAGATGACCTGATGACAAGAAATGCAAGAAATGCCATCGATACATACCAACCAAGCTCAACTAATGTGGCAGCATAATAGTAGGTTTTGTTATCGGATCCGATTGGTTGCCACTGGTTCTGATCACGGTTGCTGTCGGGCGGTCGAGGTCTTCGGCACCACCACATCTGCATGCTCATGGGTGACCGAGTTGCAATGAGGTTGCAATGTGGGTCGCAATGAGCATTTGTGCAGATGGAGAGTCAAGGATGGGTAAAGAGGAAAGAGGGAAGAGGCAGCAAAAGGCCCCCTTTTATAGACCTTCGGCATGCGCCTCACCGCAGTTTAAAAAAAAAACATTACATGCATGCCACACTGCAGTTTGGAGAACATTAGCATGCATCCTTACCGCTTTGAGCGATAGATGGGGGTGCTGATTATGCGATATGATTAACCAGATTATCCGGATAATAATGGGTCTTAGTGCCATTTTCACCCGCGCAAAAGGCCATATTTACATGAAAAAGGTTTGTGTGAATACACAATGAATTGTGGTGTGCTACGATTGTGAGAGCCTGAACAAAGAACTGGAGCAGTGTATTCTCTTGTCATCAGATTTAGACATAGGCCAACTGTCCAATTTCGCCTCGGGTATCAACAAGTTTATATTCCGTTGCAGATCCACTTCTATTTACACCTTTTACAAGGAAGGCACGGAACAAAACGTATACAGGTGAATGAATATGATGTGTAAGACTTTAACGCTCGCAAACCCCATGGTCTTGTCCAGACAACTGCGGGCGCACTGCTGGAGATTAATCAAGGAACAACCGTGCTCGTCGCACGGAAATTCTCCACAGGTGTAGTGCCACCAATGGTATTACCATCGCTCATAAGAGCGAGTCCTATCCGGAAAGCAGGCAAACTTGGTCCATATATACGCCGGCACACAACACTCAGTCCAACTTGTTTACGTGTATTCCTCCCCGTGTATAGGGATGGTCCAACGACCAAATATTGCACCGCGAGATACTGACCAGACGATGCGTCGAGTTATTGAACGGAACGGGTTGATCTCCTCCTTCCATACCTGCGCAATCCACACCATCTGCTGGTAAAGGGATAGAAATTGGGGTAGTTGTCAATGTCCTCAAGGTCTCAAAAAACTGCGCGGCGTCATCGGCAAATCTCGAACAATAGACGTGGTCCAGCCGACGAAACCGTTCACTCACGGACCACGTCTCTACTGGAAAATCCGGTAATAAGCTTTTCAAAACATCTGGGCTCTTGGTCTCGCCGTTGGAAATCTCCTCTCCAGGTATAGGAATCATCGTAATTTGCTGACCACGGACGGGTATTTTGCCTCCGGCAGATGGAGACTCTACAATGGGGAGTACGGCGGTCTGCCTTGTAGTAGAGGCATCCTTTATAGCTGCAGCTGCGATTAGAACCTCGCAAGTACTGCCGCGGACTACCTCACCGCCCCCCACCCCTTCCCCCTGTTGATTACAGGGAAAAGACATGTTTTGTTCGACCAGTTGCCCAGCGTCATCCTTAACATTGGTAGACTGGTGAGATCTTGGCACTAATTTGGTCATCGCCAGTCCATCGCTTACATCGAGGGAGCCGTCCACCTTTTCCACCGGTATCTTCACACTAGCATTTGAGCATCTCCGTTTGCTGCTTCGCTCCTCTCCGGGCTGTTCACTTGAATCCCGCTGCCGTTTATATGAACTGCTGGTCATTTCATTTACATTAGGTTCCATAGCCAATTCGGCCGTCAACGACAGTTTCGACTCTTTCTCAAAAGTAGAGTAGCTTGCAGCACTTGAAAATGAATCTCTGCGACTGTCCCCGCGACTTTGACTGCCGACTCCGGGTGACCGGCTCCGGCTCCGACGTGCTGCGTGCTGATAGCGGCGGTCGTGTGAACGGTCACGAGAACCACTACGGCTGCGAGAACCTTCCCGAGACCTCGCGCGTCTGGCCCGGTCTCTATATGTATAGGAATTGCGCTCCCTGGATCGACTGTGCTCATAGCTATGGCGACGCCGAGTTCTGCTCCAACTTCTGTCTCTACTATGGTCGCGCCTATCACCCCGTCTCCGGTCCCGATCGCGCCCGCGGTCTCTTTCCCAGTCTTTCCTACGGTCGTGGACCTTCCCTTGTCCCTTGTCGGCGTCGTAATGAGTGTCACCGTCCGCGCTGTGCCGCTCGGCGTCGGCAATGCCAATCAACTCACGGGAAGGTTCCATTTTTCTCACTGTTTCACCAACGGCATCGGACGAACGCCTCACGCGGCTCCTATCCCCGTACCCGTACATATCGTTGGATTGTGCGGCATTTTCAGTTGCTAGTACCTCACGAATACTGTAAGGCTCCTTGAAAACAGCTTGTATCAGGACGTCATGGGAGCGGACATCTCGATCGCTCACTGATGATATATCAGAATAATGCGACCGCTTCATCGACAAGCCACTAAGGCCCACCGTGTGCGCTACATCGGATCCAATCTCAGAGTGCGTCTGGGTATCATCTGTGTGGCTGCGATTCGCTGTTGAGTCGACGGGCCCGGGTATAGGACGTCTGTCCCCCTTAAAGGTTTCCTGGGATTTGCGCAAAAATCTGCCCGATGAGACAATGCTGCTTTCAGTACTACCGATGTCATTCTCATCTCTACGCCTCAATCGATCGGAGCCGGGTGCTTCTGGATCGGGAGGTTGAGATGCATCATGGCGGCTTGAAACATCGCTCCAAGCTGGAACAGAGGTCGACTGTCCTGGGTGCCGGGCGTCCCCATTGACTCCTCTAGAAGAACGCGCATATAGCGGTGACTCTCGCGGAGGGGCCCAGTAGGTTCGTTGGCGGTCTCCGTGAGCTCCATATGGGTGGTACTTCTCAAAATTGTCATATGCCCGACGTGGTGTGTTGTACCGGACGTCATGTCCGGGATGAGCCCGCCCGTCGCCAAAGTGTGGTGCAGTCCACGAATGATTCGAATAGTGTCGTCGGTCAAACTCATGGAGGGGTACCCACCTGTCTTGGTCCCAAAGACTATCAGATATAGGGTCCCACCAAGTTTGACGTGGTTCATCCCAGACACTCCGGTCGTCTGCAGCTCCTACGTCGGCGGAGGAAGGGTCACGTCCTGTCACAGCCGCTGAGGACTGGGAATCTTGTGTAGAGTCCATTCCGGATTTTGAAGCGGTTGGTGCCGACTTTGCACCGGTCACAAGAAAATTGGTCTCCGACTTTCTACCTCCTTTTTGCTGCTTTATTCTCTCCTTGCATTCATATTCATGCCATGATCCTTCTACGACTGGTAAACTATAGAGAATACTCAGCATACCCGATAGAACATAAAATACCAAGATAACTCACTCCTTTGGAAGGCATGGGGTCGGTGTCTCTGTTTTGAAGAATGGATGATCCAACGCCTCCTTCGCGCTCGGTCTCTGCGATGGATCATAGGAGAGAAGGCGGGAGATGAGATCCACAGCCATTGGTGTAACCGGAGTGACGGCTCTAACAGACATTATGAACTGTTAGCGACCAGTAACATCGCTGACAATGTGTTCAGCCTACTTTTCATTCAGATAGGTTTCCAGCCGCCTTGGATACTTTTGCTTTGGTTTCAACCACATCTTGGACCAACTGTGGTCCATTTTGCGATAAAGCTGCCAGTTCTCGTCCGTAGGATGACCACAAATGCTGAAGATGCGTTTCACTTGTTCGGTGTCCCGGCCCCGAGAGGTGTGGAAGATGGGATACTTTATAAACATCTCTGCAAGAATGCACCTATCGAGTGAAGAATAACTTGGTAATTAGTGCACGCCCAAGATCTTTCAGAAAGAATCATACATACCCCGCACCCCACATATCAATTTCATATCCATAGTGCAACTGGCCGAGTAGCACCTCAAGAGGTCGATACCAGACGGTACACACGCGATTAGTATATCCTTTTTCATCATAAACATCCTTCTCCCTGGCAAAGCCAAAGTCCGCAATTTTCAACTCTCCGCGATTATTCAACAGAAGATTCCCCACTGACGATACAAAAATGAATGCAAAGAGAATAAGGCAGCCGAGTTGAGAACAATATCGTCTTCTGCGAGACTAGCGAAAACTAACCTTTCAGGTCCCGGTGCATGACGCCTTTAGAATGCATATAATGCATTCCTTCGAACATTTGCTTTGCTATGCATTTCAAATGATTGAGTTTATACAGTTGCTTGTCGGGATGGTGCTGCATAAGGCCAGCAAGGTCATGATCCATGTATTCCAGAATCATATACTCATGCACCTCCTGTCCGAATGCTTGTGCTGTAATAATCGGATTACTAAGACAATCTACCGTGTTGGCGACTAGAGAGCTTGTCCTTGATGCGATCCTCACTTACGCTTATCATATGATACCATCCCAATACATTGGAGGATATTCCGGTGTCGATATTTCATGAGAAACCGAAACTCTCGCATGTTGGGCACAGTGAACTTGCGGACGGGATGAGTTTTGATAAGCATATTGAGGAACAAAAGGACAGTTGCTCCGATCAGACTCACGATATTATTCTTTCCTTTCTTGTCGATAATTTGTTTAAGTGCCACAATTTGACCGTTATGTTTGATTCGTGCCTTGAATACAGTGCTGCAAATTGTATGTGCAATTTTTGGGGCGTCAAGCGGATGAATGGATCCAAGTTCGGACAATAACCAACATACCCAAAAGTCCCCTGGCCAATCTGCTCCAGGTTTTGAAAATGTGCTTCAATGCTTCGGTAAATTTTGAATTTGTCGAATTTAGGAGGGCTTTTCAAATCCCTCGGGACGGCATTTGGCTGTCTCTCTTTGACCACTGCCGCGTTAACCTTGCGTAGCTCCTTTCCTGCCGATGAACGACCAGTAAGTAGGGTAGTCTGTGTGGATACCAGTAGGTCATGCTCCGGAGATTGGCGAGAAATAGAGGCCGCTTCCGATGTGGCACCATGTTGCGCTACAGACCCAGGCGACTTTTTTTCTTCAAAAGATCTCTTCCTGATGGCCTGACTCCTGAGTCTCTCGTGCTTCCCGCCCGGATGAGTAGACTCAATTTGTGTATTGGACGAAACAGATTGGCGAGCAGATGGTAATGAATCGGCCATTCCAATGATTGGCCCATTCGCAGATGGTGATGGTCGCGGCGGCTCTACATCCTCATGAGGAGCCAGCTGATCGTCGTAATGTGACAATAACACCCCTGATAGAGGGACGCTCGCTCCTGATTCAGTATTGCTCTCCCGTTTTGAGGTTTCCAACCCTGATGACCGCGATACCCTTCCTGATCCTGCTACGGAGGACAGAAATGGGGTACTCTTGGCGCCCATTTTTGGCTGGCTATCGCCTGAGCGCGATGTCTCTGCTTCCAATTGTGACAAAGTAATCCTCTTGTGAGCTCGACTCCGTCCAGGCGTTGCACCGATTGCAAAAGAGAGCTTCTTTGATTTCTCCGTGGCCTTCACGTTAGTCTCGGAGACATTTTTGGCGCTGCCCAACGGCTGTTTCACTGTGGGGCGAGGGCTTGTTGAGTTGGGATCTACATCCATATTCTGGATATCGTCATAATGAGTGACATGCACTGGCAGCACATGATCGGGAGTGTCGCTGCTTTTGAACTCTAATCCATTTGCTGTTTTAATTGATGGATTGTTGAAGAATAATCACGAAAAAACAAAATGCAGCAGGCATAGTGAACGAACCAGCCTCCTTCTCTTGGCCCGAAACCATTATGATTTGATTTGTGGCTCGCTGTTGTGACTGAGACGATTGGAGAGGAATTGTCCCTTCAACGAGACACGATCCGCTCCGTCCTTCTTCGTCCATTGGGAGATCCTGCACAGATGTATCACTTCCATTTGGATCCCGGGAGTGCAGAGTACGAGTACTCCTTTCCAAGCCCTTCAGTCCTTCGGCATTCGCAACTTCGGGCGCTGTAGGCTGTACAGGATGAGGAGTAGGGTGCTCAAAATGAATTTCTGCAGGGACCAGTGTCTCAAGGTCTTCGGGATAGACGCCTGCCATAATGAGCACACTAAAAATAATAAAGCTCTCTGCCTCAGTATCGTCCTAAACTGTCCAGAGAAGTAGAGCTCTGCAGGAACTTTGCCCCTACCTCGCAAGACAACAGAACTTATAGCCCTAGATAAGAGCGAAATCCGACGACGTCCAATAAGGCAAGTAAGGTAACATCTACTTCGTTCCCATGGAATCGATGACGAGTTCTGATTGGTGAAGCGTCCAGTGCGTGGACAGCGATGCCAGTGTGCAAAAGTAAACCTGTCAGATGGTGAGCGTCAAGGACGTGTCACATGAGATGCGGCGCAGTGGTGACTAAGCACCTAAGCGTTTTCTCCCTCATATGAAGAGTTACGTTGCAGAGATCTTGGACAAGGCCAAGTCATTTTTTGCACAATGCCGTCCGTAGAAGAGGAACAATATGAGGCTCCTGGATCTCCCGTACCGAATGGCTTTGGGATACCCTCACCTGCCGCCCCTTGCCCACCTAACCGACCAGAGGATGTGAGTTATCATTGATTTGTTTTTGCGGATAGTAAGCAGATCCGCTGACAGCCCAGACAGATTCATCGCATAGTCGAAACAGTAGATAGGTACGACCTTTTATGACTTTCTTGGTGTCATTACGCAGCTGAGATATGCTGACCTGAGAAACTTTCTAGATACAATCCGCAAAATATCCCCGTTCTGGAAAGTTATGTGGAGGAGCAAATGGAACGTGACGTTTACGACCGCGATGCGTGCCTCGCTGTTTTGAAACTTTACCAGTTCAATCCAACATTCAACAACATCGAAGTAGTGACCAACATTCTTGGTCTTGCACTTGGCGCTCTGCCCGACCCAGACTTCAACTTATGTCTTTACATGCTGAACGAAGATATACTCACCGACAATAGCGTAGAAAAACTTATACACTTGCATCATTTGTTGGAGCAAGCAAAGTTCCAAGAGTTTTGGGCGTATCTAAACACAACGGAAGGCGCGCGAGACCTAGTGGCAAAGTACTTACATTTCGATCGAAGGATTCGAGAGTATGCATCTGTCACTGTTGGGATTGCCTACCAAGCGATTGAGAAAGAAAGGCTCGGCGAATATCTGGCGTTGGAAGGAGTGGATCTTGACCAATGGATTGCGGAAAAGGGATGGAATGTGGACAAAGACTCGAAGCTTGTCAACCTACCAATCAGCAAGGAGAACCAAGCGAGACCAGTGATTGTGCAGGAGAGTATCAAGTTCGAACAGCTTACCAAGATTATCGGCTATGGGCGACTCACGCAATAGGGTGGCAGCCCTGTCTGAAGTGCATTTGTATAGACCCCTTTTCAATAGTCTATGTATAGTAGGGTAGCGAGGCTGACGACACTAAATTCCGGGACAGCACGTAAAGCAGTTGCTAAAGGAGCTTCACAAGCACGGGCCTGACTTTGAAAACAAGAATGTTTCTGGCGGGGAATCAGGCAAACCATTACATCTTGTTAGAGCAGGAAAGCGTAACTACAGTCATTGCACATCGCGTAAAGTCGCAGAGAAAAAGGTCCTAATCTTCGTCTTCCTCGTCATCGGGGCCAAACTGCGTGTAATCGATCTTCTTCCCGCGAGTACGACGGCCACCTTGTATAATGTTGCTGGTGTCCAGGAAGTCCATTTCGGCCCCTGCGGCGACTGTGATTAAAAAAAAAACCAACAACAGAAAGCCATAATGGTGCCCCTTGCAGTACATACCTAGATCGTCGTCACTCTCATCATTACCAACATCCCCCTCGTCATCGTTGTCAGCCTTCTTCTTTTTTTTGGGCGGTTCCTTAGATCTTCGGCTTGGCAATGAGCCCTTTTCCTTCATTTTTGTGACGCTTTTCTTTTTAGGACGTGTCTCCATTTCCTCTTCGCTGGTATCTTCAGATTGTTCGGATCCAGATCCTTCCTCTGCACACCGACAAACTTGCATAAGACCTCGTCTCATATACAATGGAGCTGTCATTGAGCAGGATACTCACGCTCAATATCTTCATCGTCTACAATAAATCCGTCACCTTGGTCATATTCGTCGAGGTTCTTGCGTTTGCTTAGTTCTCTCTCCTTCTTCTCGAATTCCTCCTCCCGTAATGTTGCTGTTTTCTCGGACCCCCGAGAGATTTTTGTTTGCGGTTTTGATGCCACAGAAGACTTCGGCTTTGACTTCCTTTACACGTGAAGCAGGCGCCAAGTAAAATGAGATCAAACGGTCGGTTAAGTGTGGCAATTTGGATTTCGAGATCTAGTTCAATCGCGCCTTACGTGCTGACTTCATCCTCAGCTTCAGCCTTGCGCTTCGCTGCAAGAGCAGCGAGCTTGCTCTTATTATCTGTCATCTTGGCTGGTCGTGGTGGTTAGATTGGGGGTGATGTCCGAGGGATGCAAACCCCCCTTCAAGAGCAAATGGCGCACGTGATCTGACAGTCCACAGCAATCCCAACCCGAACTGCCTGTGGGGAATGCCGTTCACTCAAGTACGATATGCTCTCCGCACGGCAAAACGTGCCAAAGGCGCTAACCGTAGCTGGTTCAGATTCCGGCGGAGGTGCCGGAATTCAAGCCGATCTTAAGACTTTCAACACCTTATCAGTGTATGGTGCTTCCGTTTTAACTGCCATCACAGCACAAAATACAGTTGGAGTACAAGGAATATATGCTCTTCCTGTCGACTTTGTGGAGCAGCAAATGGAAAGTGTCTTGGACGACATAACGTTCGACGCAGTCAAGACCGGTACGTATGTTGAATTTATGGATAACTGGGGAACGAGGTTTAAACATGGGCTTCCCGAGATGTCCAGGAATGCTGCTGAACGCTGAGATCATCGAAAATGTTTCCAGACTGTTTAAATCCCGTTCCATAAATCATCTGGTTGTTGACCCTGTAATGGTCTCTACATCCGGTTCTCGCCTCCTTGCCGAAAATGCTATATTTGCGCTTCGCAAGCATCTCCTGCCCCTCGCTGAAATTGTAACTCCGAATATTTCGGAAGCTGAGGTTCTAGCCGAAATGAAGATAAAATCTCTTATGGATGCGCGTGACGCCGCAAGGAAGCTGCATACTTTAGGATGTAAAAATGTGCTGGTGAAAGGGGGCCATATGCCGGTTGATGGCAGAGGCAACCCTGTCGATGTTCAGCTGGCTGATGGAAATTCATGGGTAGTGGACACTCTCTTCGATGGTGACGAATTTGTGGAATTCCGAAATCGGTTTGTCGCGACCGAAAACACTCATGGAACTGGCTGCACATTGTCTGCAGCCATCACGGCGGGGCTGGCAAAGGGACTCAAAGGTGAGATGGCCATTGTGAACGCGTCGAATGATACACCGCTTCTCATACAGGGACTTTCCGTTCCGTTTAAGTGAGAGACTCCGTGGAGAAAGCGATGCTCTGTGTTTCTAAAGGTCTTGCGTCCAGTTTCTCCATCGGGAAGGGGGGTGGGCCTCTCAATCACTTTCCACCTGTGATGAATCTCTCAAGTGAACCATCTTACCGCGGTGGAAGCTTTGTTCAACTCCTCAAATCTGCTTACCCACAAGAATGGAGTGATTATGTCAACCATGAATTTGTTAGAAAGCTGGCGGATGGGAGTCTTCCAATCGAATGCTTCAAGCACTACATAAGGCAAGACTACATCTTCCTTCGACACTATGCTCGTGCCAATGCGCTGGCGAGCTACCGTGAGCATGACATGGACGACATTATCAAAGCCGCTCAAATAGTAACCTATATTGGAATGGAATGTCAAATGCATGTGAAGGTAAAGAGTATCAGGATACCCGAAATATTACTCATTGTCTAAAGCCGCTTAGTACTGTGCGGATTGGGGTATATCTGTAGATGACCTTGAGGCTACCCGGGAAGCGACGCCAAATTTGGCATATACGCGATATGTACTGGATAGAGGTAAGCGGCCTGTGGTATGGGCCGTTATGGACCAACTCTCCAGAGTAAACAATCAATTCTCTGCACAGGAATGAGCGGCGATCGATTAGACTTGCGGGTCGCACTTGCGCCTTGCTTATTGGGTTACGGTGAGGTTGGCGTCCGTTTGGCGAATGACCCAGCGACAAAACGAGGTGGGTGTGAAGACTTGGCTCCTAGGACCACATACATCTGATGACTATGTCTCTAGAGGGCAATCCATACTGGACGTGGATTCAAAATTACGCTAAAGATGAGTTCCAGGCTGCTGTTCGGGAAGGAGAAGGTGAGTGATACGCTGTGATGTTAATCAGTGCCGTACACAAGTGCTGTAATTGTTCTAACTGACAAATTCAGAACTACTGGAAAAGTTGTTTGATGATATGGTCCCACCTACAAATCATCGACGCATCAAGCAGCTCTGCGACACATTCCGCCAAGCAACCATTTTGGAGAGAAACTTTTGGGAAAGTACGTGCTTTGCTTTAAAATATGGTCTATGGGCTTCTTGCTGAATTGATTCGTTATAGTGGGCCTGTCTCTGGTTCCGTAAACACTTTAGCATAGAATAGTTACGATGTTGGTTATTTAGAAGTCGGCATCGGAGGTAGAAACCAACCCAATTGATGGTCCAAAAGAGATGGGCCTACGAGCAGTCCTCGACAGATAGCATTTAATTTTTTTCACGGTTAAAGCATTCGCAACAGAACAATGAAACTACCCTCTCGTTCTACCCACGCTTCCCTTCAGACCCTGCCAGGCATCAAGCCTCATCATTGGCTCCCCACCTATGGGCGGCTTCTCTAGAAATCCAATCTCCACGAAGTATCCTAAATACAGTCCCATCAGCTCATTCATACTCTTGCATACCACCCCGCCGGGCCTCTCTTCCAGTACTTGTTTCACGTGGCTATCATCCAGCTCCGCGCTCTTGGTACTCGTAGGCAAATCATCCAAAACAAAATGCAAAAGGGGATACAGTGCATTGTCAGCAGTTGAAAGTGTAAGGTCCATCAATGCAGTTCGCCAATGGATGTAGTCCACAGGCACGAGAGTGTAACCTTTGCGCACCAAATGACCAAACATGTCATCGTATTTGAAGCGGTCTGAATTATGCATGTGGAAGACACCTAGAGCGAGTGAAGTCGGTGTCGACGCTACTTCAGCGATTGCACCCGCAACGTAGTCCACTGGGCACATGTTGACAAGATTTGCAATACGTGGCACTTTACCGAGTTGAATGCAGCCTTTGACCAGTCGCCACAAGAAATCATCGGTGTTTCCAACTCCGGTAGTAGAGTCACCCACAATATACCCTGGTCGGATGATAGTCGCCGGCACACCTCGTTCGCGTGCTATCATAATCAGCTTTTCGGACACCCACTTAGTCTGACCGTAACCACTACGCAATCCTTTTCTCGAGCCTTCGAGATCGTCAGTTTCAAGAACCTTCCCTTTTTCTCCGAGCTCAAGCTTGCGCATATAATGCTCGGTATCCAATACGGCGGTGGAAGATACAAAGTGGAGAGGCTTAAGGTGATGCCGTGTAGCCAGTCGTAAAGATTCCAACGTGCCGAGGACATTGGGTGCTCGGAGTTTATGATAGGGGTACACCCAGTGAACTAGCGCTCCATTGTGAACAATCACGTCTACGTCCGTGGACAGATATTCCCATTGCTCTTCTGACACACCCAGGCGCGACAACGCAAGGTCACCACAGATAGCCTCCACCCGGTCGGCTGTCAACCACTGGTCTTCCCATACAAGGTGCCGTTCGCCATTGTCTCGTATTCTTGCCAATGCGTCCTGAGGGGTTTTAGCTCTGACAAGAGCAATCACTCGACTATTAGGGAATCGCCTCAACAGCGCACCGAGAATGAAAGCACCCAAAAATCCTGTCGCCCCAGTCAAAAAAAACACCGGACGGCCAACGGGCAGTCCCTCCTTAATCGGAAAATCAAACTGCGGTAGGCCAGTTGCGGAGATCGCCGGATCATCCAGCGCATCCAAATCAGCAGCGTAATCTACCTCTTCCTCCTCCTCAACCGCTACCTGCTCACCGGCTCCTCTTTCGGTCTTCCCACTCTCATTACCAATCATCCGCAAGTCGCCACCACGAATGAAATCTACTTCCTTTGCCATCCCTCTAACTGTGGGCTCTCTATATACAATGCTAAGAGGGACTTCGACCGCCAGTGTCTTACGAACTTCGAAAACAAGCCGTGTCGCTAAAATAGAATGTCCGCCCAAATCAAAGAAATTATCATCAATTGGAATGCTCGTGGATGGTCTTCCAAGTACGTTTGACCAGATATCACGAATGCCCAGCTGAATGGGCGTGAGTATATTGTCTTCACCAGTTGCAGGAGCGGCCGCAGTAAGAGCGGTGTCTGGGAAAGGAAGAGCGTTCTTGTCGACTTTACCGTTGGGCGTCAAAGGCATTCGCTTCAACGGAAATATCACTTTGCAACGAATGGTCCATTAAAATCCGTCGCCAATTTAGACTGCTACTATGCGTACTCACCTTTCGGTACAGCATATCCCGGTAGCTTTGTCTTGAGGTATTCTCGCACGTCCTTGATAAACGCTGCCACATCAACATCTGCATCCAGTGGAACGATGTAACTGACCAGAGTCTTTTCCTCATCCTTGTCACGTCTGACTAATGTCACATTCTCACGAACATTGGAATGTTGACTAAGATGAGTGTCAATCTCCTTTAACTCGATCCTGAATCCTCGAATTTTGACTTGATCGTCAGCACGTCCTGTGCACTCTACAGAACCGTCAGGGCGGTACCTCCCAAGATCGCCAGAACGATACATCCTGTCACGTGGTCCCTTGTAATAAGGCAGGTTACGGTCAGGTTCAGGTCCCGATGGATTGAAAGGATTTGGGACAAATTTTTGGGCGCTGGCTTCGAGGTCAAGATATCCTTCTGCTAAGCCTCCGCTGCGGACATAGATTTCGCCGACCTCTCCAATACCACAAAGTAATCCTGAGTTATTGACTACCAGTAGCTGGACATTTTTCATGCCCTTTCCTGCCGGCATAATATCTTTCTGCTCAGAAAGGAACCCGGGGTTCAACGACGTAGGTGGAATGTCAAGATACGATACAGCACGCTGGGTCTCGGTCGTGCCGTACATGTTGATAACATGGGTATTCGGTGCCAAGTACTGGAGACGGAGGACATCTCGCTTCGTCAGAACGTCCCCCACAAAGAACGCATTGCGAAGCGTAGGAATTGGGTGGGTTGCGTTAGCGGACAATAGCTGACCCATGGCAGGGGTGAGATGAGTGACCGTAATCCCATGGTGAGCCATCCATTCTGCCAACCGGCCAGGCGTGCCAATGTCTTCCGCTGTTGGGATTCGCAGCTGTGCACCGAGGAATAATGGTGTAAAGACTTAGCACTCCGTTAGCAATGCTTTGCACTTCAGTAGCAAAGTAAATTTGTCGCTACTTACTATCGCGTTGAATTGGGTCATGTGCAATCCCACTCAACATTGTGAAGCGTTCATGCTCAGTTAATCCAAATTCGTGCCTCATCCAGGGATAAAAATGCGTCAATGAAAAATGACGACCTTTGACGCCTGAAAATGAAATCGCGTTATTCAAGGGAAATCAGAATCATGTGCGGGAATGTGTCCCAACAAACCTTTCGGTATGCCAGTACTTCCACTTGTGAAGCTCAACGTGCAGCCGCTGTCGGGGCCTAGCACTACAGCTGGTTCGATACTGGCATTGTTCTGATGGGGTGCTAGAACATCGGTGCCAGTGGAGCTGCCACCGACTAGAAGTCCATCGTCAAGAATCTCCAATGCAGGCACCTCACACTTGATGTCAAGATTATCCTTAATATATCCACGGACATCTTCATGAAGCTCGCCAGCCTTACGTAGAATGACCAATCCGCGAGGTTTTGCGACCGAAAGGTAAATATTCTGGCGAGACGGAGGATACGCTGGATCTATTTCACAGTCATTATGATGTCCATCCTTCAGCCAAGGGTCAACTATCCACCTACCAATGACACTGAAAATCGCTCCGGCTTTAAGGACACCCATGACGGCCACCACCAAGTCTACTCCTCTGTACGAATACAGCACTACAACATCCTCTCTCTCGATACCATTTGCAATCAAATGGTGTGCAAGGACGTTCGAAGCTTCGTTAATCTGCTTGAAAGAGAACTCCCGCAGGTCTCCAAAAGTACTTCCTTGTGCCTCCCTACTTTCTACGACGCATGTACGATCAGGGTGGCTTTTGGCGTTTCGGGCAAAAATATCGGTGATTGCTCCCTCAAATCTGTCCCATTCGAGATCAGCAGTGGGATCTGGGAGCAATGTTCTGCTTCGCGCAGTTAGGAGAGAAATGCGGCCAATTGTTGCCTGAGGATCTTCCGCAGCCGATTGGAGAACAAGTTGCAGTTGATCCAGCATGTCCGTAATACGACTGTTCGAGAACAAGACAGTATTGTACACGACTCGGATCTCAATGGGAAGAAGACGGCGAAGGGTTGGGGCCTGGGAAATGAAAATGGTGATGTCACATGTGGATGAAGTGGTCGTCGAAGATAAAGTGTCAGGAGTAGTGTCTGTCAGGTTGAAAAATCGGACTTTGAAGAGCGACTGCTGTTGTCCAGATTCGGGTCGGACGGAGGACGGTGCGAGCAAGTCATTCAATAACGCAGCAAATGGGATTTCGTCGGCTAAAGCATCCTCCTCGGCCTAAAACAGATGTGCCATCAATGCAAGGCTGAAAGTTACTGGAAGCTCTGCGACTTTCTACCTTGAGAACAGTCTGCACTGCTGTTGCAATTGTATCATTATCAGTTAGTGGAAATCTTAATACTAAAGGATTTGAAGATCGAGAACTAGATCCAACGGTAATATCCTCCTCGCCAGTGTATTTGTGTAAAAGAATGGAGAAAGCAGCGAGCAAGATGGTGAAAGGGGAAATTGTCGACGACGATCCATGAGCGGCATGTTCTTCAGATACTGCTCCGTAGTTAGGCTTGATATTCAGCGAAAGCTTGAGAATCGCAAGAGAGATGGCCTCTGGAACTTGTAAGACCTGCTCCGCTTCCACAATGCGGTGTGGGATGGGCCGAGGATAGTCTGTTGGAAGTACAAGTTCGGTCAAGCTTGAAAGGCGCTCTTTCCATCGCGATATGAGGGTAGGACTGACGGGTTCGTCGGGTAGCGTCGCTCCCATGTCGTGCCAACGGATGCGGTGTTGAAAAGGTGGCTACGGAAGAGGAAACGAGCAACTAAAGCAAGTCAAAAGGGCGGAGACGCTGCTGGAGAGTGCACTGCTGATGGTGAGGAGATCTTGATCCAGATCAAACCTCGTTTATCCATATAGGGTTACATGAAACTCCACGTGATCTTGGTTCGTGCTCTGCGAAGGTACAGTAAGCAGGCTGGAGATCGAAGGAAAACGCAAGAGATTTCTGCAGTGAATGCCCATTAAAATGCTGCTCTGCAACCGTAGATGAGCAACGAGTGTTGCAATTCATAAGCAACACAAGTTAATTCATATTTCTTCACCAAAAAGTGACTGCTACCGGCACTTGAGCGAACCTGTTACAGAAATCCTTTGAAGGAGGATACAGATATAGATATTATAAAACTGTAAATAATCACCTCTCTATCATTCACTCGCGTTGGATATCATATGTGCGTACAGAGTATGGAGCGACGGGCTTGTCTAAATGTGTTGAATGAGCATCTTATAATACAATAGAATAACTCGGCGTGACCTGAAAATCACATGACCACGTGTCGAAAATACGTGTCGGAATGGCTGCTTGATTGCTGTCGGGAATGCCCCAGACTGCTTTATTTTAAAGACCTCAACTAATCTTATGAGGATTGGTGCATCTTTTTTCTGGGGCATCTTTGTGGATATTACAAGGGACAGTGCTGCTTACTTTCGGGTCTTTTTTGCTTTATATGCCTTTTCCTGACTCTCTGTAAAAGCATACCCATTCTGCAGCTTTCCCCATACCAAATCTACACCCTGCAATTCATCAACATGCCCAGAGCCAGGTCCAGCAGCTGAAAAGGTGACTTCTACAGGCCCTATGAGACTTCCCATCTGCGCCCTAAAAACAAACCGGTTCCAACCCATGAAACCATGGCATCGATATAGAAGATGTCCCAGCCCCATAATCTGCTGCATAAATAGCTGTGAACCCAACAGTGATTCCAACCAATTGAATCATAATTTTACTCGATTTAGACTCATGAACTATGATTTGATAATGGTTCGATGCACAAACGATGCTCCACCATTGAAAAACGGGTCCAATATGTGCGGCAATGAACGGATTGATTGAATATTCTGCAGTTGCTCCACCATTGAAAAACGGGTCCAATGCGCAGTTGTCATATCTCTATATAAACCCGCCTTCTCTGCCCATTTCCCAGGTTTTCATCCATTTTTCTATTCCAATCATCATGCCGCCAAAGAAAAAGCAAAAGCTTGAAAAACTTGACAAACCCACCTTACATACCTGCAACAAAACTTCCTTTGCAAAAGCTTTCCTGCCTAATGAGACCTACCACCAATGGCTTCTAGATTACATCGCCATCATCCATCAACTTGCCGACCATGCTTCCCACGCGCTGAAATTCTATCTCCTTTCATCAGCGCCAGTTTTTCCCACAGTAAATCAAGAGAGGATTGAAGCCATCCTCTATCTTCTCAACAAAGGTGAATCATGGCAACCAAAAACCGGTGCAAAGAAGGCATTATGTGAATCCTTGTTGCCATACATTTGTCAGTACTGCCACATCATCAGCTTTGTTCATCCAAATCTACAAAAAGAGCAGCAATCAGTCAATTACCTGACAGTGAGTATGATGGCGAATCTGAAGGTCAACATCCAGGAACACTTCATGACGATGCTGCTCCGGTACATTAATCTGCAGCTTGACGTGAAGGGACAGAAGCAGTGACTGCCACTGAAAAGCGATGCGCGGAAAGCTTTCTTTGCTCGTCTTCACTACTTGAAGTCGGTTTTCCTTTTCGAAACCATGCCAGAATCACTGGATGACTTGACTGCTGAAGAGAGTGAACTTCTAGAAGAGATTTGGTCCCTTATGTAACGATGAGGACATCTTTGAGAGATCGCGAGTAAGCCCAAATCGGATGCGGGAAGCATGAATCACATGACCAACTCCACCGATTAGGTTACCGTGACCGAAAAAACCGGTTTGGAGAATGGCAATCAGCGCATTAGATTTCAGCGTGCCTCGTACAACCTGTGGAGGCCCGAGCCAGTGCGAAAAAGGAAGAAATTGGTACCGCCACCAATAAATCAGTTGCGGTGCAGTGGCACCCATTAGTTTAGTTTAGTTTAACAGTTTATCCAAGAATCTTGTATAAAAAGGATGTATTCAATAGAAAAAACAGGCGGGGGGGCAGAAGCCGTAGCGACACTAAAATCCCCACAACTAGCTTCTCAACTCCAATCTTAGGTTAACAGGAACCCAACAGAGCGCTTCAACGGCCTGATCACCCACACTGAAGCCTCTAAATCCTGCTCAGTTCACAACTAACCGATTCTCCTTGCCTCTTGCCCCCAATTCACTACCGACGCCCAAAGAAAGGATTTGGAGACTACGATTCCTAGTACAGACATCCATCTAACCTGCTAGGAGACCCAAGTTGTCTTTACCATAGTTAACCAACAAAAAATCCATTACATGGTGGAGAAGCACGATGAACTGCCTTCCCCTCTCAAATTCAGCTGAAAACCTTATTCAGTCATACCAAAAACTCTTGCGCAAACCAAGATCTGCTCAGGTAGCTACTCGGAAACCTTTTCTCTTGTTTCAGAAACAGACTTCATGAAACTGAGAATGATGCCAGTCGAATGCTCTCCAACACGAGGCTGCTCACCTGTGATCCAGACTCATAGTCAGGGTCCTGTGGAGGACATCGAAGTCCCTCCCGCAACATGCCCGAGGCATTCGGGGACCACTTCCATCGAACTGGAAGCCCCTAACTTGGCCATGATGGCCTCTGAAGTGGCAGCGTTGAAAGAAGACATTGCCCGCTCGACTGCTGCAATGCAGTTGGCAACTCAAAATCTTATGGAACAGCTTCATAGGCTTTCTGAACGTCAGACAGTGGCGGATGAGTGCCTTGCATGAGCCTTAGAAGCCCTAGCACATCGCCCGCTGCCTGAACAACCTCTCATAGCACGAGCTACAAGAGAGTGGTCCGCAACCCCATGGGAAACATCGGACACACCAAGGGAGCATACCGAACCAAGTCTTTCAGGTCCGGTGCCTCCAATCCAAGTGCCAGCAGCCCCGTGGGCCAGCAACACCAAGGTCGATTCCTTGAAAGCAAAGGACATACCCAGGTTTATGGGCAAAAGAAACCAAGACGTTGAAGAATGGCTTAACAAAGTCCAACTTCTTCAAAACATTAGCACAACATTGGATGCCAGGATGGTACAGCTCCTACCAGCCATGATAGCCGAGAAAACTCCTGCTGATGCTTGGTTTTACACTCTGGAAGCCCAGGAAACTCACTTGTGGACTTGGAAAAGGTGGAAAGAAGAACTGCTTCAAGAGTTCCGAGACCCCCTAACCGAGTCCAAGTGCAAAGCTGAATATGTGTGCTGTCATGTGAACTCCAAAGAATTTCACAGCTTTCTCATGTTCATTGACCACAAAACTCATCTCCGGCGCCTCACATATGGCAACTGGGCAAACATAGAATGTCCTGCTGACCAGCATTTCGACCTAATAGTCGAACAATTGCCCAGTGACATCCAAATCATGGTCAAATCCTGTAACGTCACAAACCTGACCAAATTAAAAGACTTCCTGCGCCTTTATTTCAGCTCTGATGACACCAGAAAATGAGACCCTTGCTACAGTGGTGCTGCAGAAGCCCAGAAGAAGTCACAAAAGACCGGAACCAACAAAGGCCCTAAGCAGATGGCTCAACATAAAACCAGAAACCCCGAAAAGGGTCGCAATGGTCCTCAGAAGATGGTTCTGGACCCCAACAAGGAACCACTGGCACCCTGCAAATTCTGTCAGAAAAAGCATTGGAATGTTTTCTGCTGGCAGAACCCGAACTGAAAAGATCCTGAAGATGGAAAGAAGGGACCATATGGAGCACCCATGCCCGCAGGTTGGAAACCCAAACAGGAGTCCAAGAAGTCGTACATAGTGGAGCTGGACTCGACATCCGCTACCACCAAGACTCTTTTTTCGGCTTCGGAACTGGAAAGGACAGCCACTGCTAATCAAGGATTCCACACCATTGGATTCTTTCATTCACCCAAGCACTCGGAATCAACAATTTTGATGACTGCACCTCTTTCTGAGGTCACGGAGACTAAGGAAGAGGACCCCCGCATGCCCACGCAGGGCTGGGACCGAGTCTGGGACAACATAGCCATCATCTGGGGCACCCCGAAAGTGGCTCTGATGATGGGCGACAACCCCCGCGTGCTCAGCTTCTTTGCCAAAGAACCGAAGCAAGGTGCTGGGCACCTTGGGAATGACCCCTACACAGTCGCGTGGAGTTCCCACCACCTCTACATTGCTGCTGCAACTGAAGCTGACAAGGATTGAATCCTGCGAAAAGTCCAAGAAGACAGTACCCCTCATTTGATTCTCCTTGCCTGGATAAGGCTCGACAAATGCAAGAAATTCTTGATGTGGAGCTCTGAAGATCCTGTTATCTTTGATTCTTATGCCAACCTGCAACTGGTGGCATTTCTCCTGACAGGCAATATCATTCACTCAGACTATTATTATCATCGCAGAAACCCCAAATTCCTGCACATTAAAGACCATCCATGTCTCCAAAGACACGAAGAGAGTGAATGGACGTGCATAGTCATGCTGGCTATCAAACAAGTTGCTCGCCAGAATAAACCAACAAAACCACAAAATGACAAAGCTAGAGAACACTTTGAGAGTTTGATTAAGGCTATGGAAGCAACAATTAATGACATCGCACCCCATTTCGAGGTCGCGGTGCCTTCTATCAACACCTTCTACATGGTAGATTTAGGCAATGTACTCAAAAGCCAGACCAAGACCCAAATGCAGCCTTGCTGGATGCTAGCCGTCATTGCTCAGCTCTGGGCACCTGTGGTACTAGACACAGGAGCCTGTGAGTCTCTGATTTCCGACATGTACCAGGGCCTTCTGTTCTCCGAAACCAATTTGCAGGATGCAGAAACAATGGCTTTCAATGGCATTGGTGGACGTATCTCATCTACCAAGACAGTATGCCTCAAAACTTCCCTCAGAGGCTGTGGAGGAGAATACCTGACTTTCCATGCCTACTTTTGGGTCATTGCATATGGGAAACCTCTCATCATCCTAGCCAATGATGTTCTGGGACATCTGAAACTCCAAACCTTGGTTCAGGTACCCCCATTACCCAGTTTTGCGGTGACGCTCAAGAATCCGGACATCCTTATCCCTTGCTCCATAATGGATGAGCTGGACACTGATCACATGCATGGCATGCCATACAAGACCAAGCAGGGTGAATTCATGAAGGATGTGTCAATGCCACGGCTGACCAAAGCCAAAGCTCAGAAGTCTAGATTAACCATGTTAATCACGGGACAGACATGCGTGGCAGCCCAAACTTTTCTCATTGAAAACCCTCTTGAGGCCACCGCTGCTAGCTCAATGGCCCCGTTAGGCCTCAAACTGTCCACTGCAACCCATAATTCAGTTGCGGACCCCAAAGAGAACATTTCCAAAGAAGAATGGCAGACACTTTGGAACAAATGGAACCTCGACTCTATGGAGAGGGCTCCAGGGGCCTTCGAAGCCCAATTAGAAGACGCGGAACATTTCCACGTTGATCTCAAGTGACCCAAACCCGTGGTCTGGGCCCTAATCAACATTCTATGACACTTCCATCAAGCCTTCAGCTATGAGGGTCATCTCATAGGGAACTACACCAAGATTCCCTATGCGCCTCGATTTATCTCGGCTCCGCCACCCCTTTTGAGGCCATAGTTGTACTCTCCGTTGGAGCGGACAGCCCTCGAGATGGAACGAGACACCATGATGGGGCTTCAGAGGTGGAAACAAACCACCGAAGTAACCTTTGCCAGCGATCCTGTTATCATTCACTATGCAAACAAACCCCTGTGGGTAGCCTTTGACTATCGCCAAGCCAATGACTGCATGGCCTGGGATCCATATCCCTTTCCCATCATGCTCGACATCCTGAACTGGATTGTCGCAGTCCCATTCCGATACATATTGGGAGGTGACGCAAACAAAGGATTGTACCAAATTGCCATCACCGATGTGTCGGTACGCAAATGGCTCGCGATCAGACTCCATGATGGCATCTATGAACCACTCTTTATGCCCTTTGGACCCAAGACTGCCCCTTCGCACTTCTGTCGGGTGATGGACGACACCTTGGGTCCCTCCAAATGGCGAAATATCAACAACTTCATTGACAATATCCACACATGAGCGGAGACAGCCGCGGAAGCCCTAGATGCCATCATGGACTGGCTCGACCACTTTTCCAGAGCCAAACTCACCCTAAGACTCGACAAGTGTCAATGGCTCTTTCACCAGCTCACGGCTCTTGGTTTCGTTGCCTCCTCTCAGGGTCTCGCTACCGATCCAGACAAGGTTGCAACCATAGTCAATTGGCCATGACCCAAATTAATAGGTGACCTATGGTCCTTTGTGGGTCTCCTAGGGTTCTACGCCCAATTCATCCCCTGCTATGTGGAACTCGTCCGACCCCTGCAAGACGCTATCCAAGAGGGCGTTCGCGAATACCGAGACCTTAAAAAGGGTCGCGCTGACCCAAAGAAAGGCACTGAAAAGCTCAATTCACCATCCATGCTCGACATGGCAGTGGCCCCTACAATCACAGCCACCGGAGCCCGATTTGAGGTTTTGCAACATCCAAAATCTAGCTCCTCAGACCTACCGGCAGTCAATCTATGCCAATCATCGCTGGTGGACTTGCCCATTGACCCCTTTTGTGTCGGACGCCTTGCTCGCAAGTGCCCCAACCAAGGTCTGTGCAGATTTATTGCAAAGCATGAAGTTTCATGGACCGATTCCCAAAACTCTGCCTTCGCAGCCGCCAAGCAGGCTCTGACAACAGCTCCAGTGCTTGCAGCACCCAGAAAAGGGTTCCCCTACACCCTTCACAGTGACGCTTCCTACACAGTGTTTAATGTCACGCTCGAACAGTTACAGCCAGATGCTTCTGAATGCCTGCTGTGCTACCATTCCTGAGGCACCACCACCTCGGAAAAGAAGGCCCCCCCTGTCGAACTCGAGGCTGGATGCCTCATTTGGGGCCTTGGAAAACTCTGCCCATACCTTGAAGGCCTGCCTTTCACAGTCATTACCGATCACCGAGCTCCTTTGTGGCTCGCCAAATACAAAGGCGAGAACTGAAAGCTCCTCTGCTGGGCCCTCGATCTTAGTTACTGGTCCGAATGGATGACAATCGTTCACAAACCAGGATGCTTCCACATCATCGCTGATACACTTTCACAGCTACTTGGCATGGAAACTCTTCTTTGCTCTACCGTGACCAAAATATGGGTGTCAGAATGCAGAAGATGACAGCCGCGCACCCCACCAGCCAGTCCCGCACCCTCCTCAACACTGGCAGAGGCCATATTTCATTTGGCGTTACAGCCTGCACTCATCACCGCCATCTGCGCTGGCCTCACCGGCCCGCTCCACCCCATCGCCCAACAGGCCCGCACCCTTCTATGGGAGACCAGTCCCGACACCTACACTACCACCGACGCATGCTTTCTTCAGGACTGGCAACATGCAGATAACCTGCTGTGGCACCGTTTTTCAGTCTCCGAAGACCTTTGGCGCCTTTACGTGCCCCCTGCTTGCACCCCCGAGGTGCGCAAGCTTTTTCACAAGGGGGGAGGACACTTTGGATTCGAAAGAACCTACGCTAGAGCTGCAGCGCAAGTCTGGTGGCCAAAAATGGCACAAGATTTCAGAAAACACTGCACAGGATGTGAAACCTGTCAATGCTCAAAAAGAGTACCACAACTGATTCCGGGGTTGCTGAAACCCATACCACCAGCTCCGGGACGCTGGACAGTCATCACGACAGACTTCGTAACCAAGCTCCCACTTACGTCCAGAGGGTACAACGCCTTTTGGTTAATAGCATGTAAATGCTCAAAGAGGATCCATGTATGGCCCCTCAAGAGCACCGCGACGGCTATTCAGGTCACGGAACTCTTTATAGAGCGCTATGTCCCATTGCACAGCATTCCGGAGACTATTATCTTGGACTGCGACTCCAAATTTATGAGTCAATTTTGGCAGGAGGTCTGCAAAAACCTAAAGATTAATCAAGAGCTCACCACAGCCTACCACCCTCAGGGTGATGGACAATCAGAGAGAGACAATGCAATGGTCTTGCAGGTCCTTACCACAATGGTCAACACCCGATTAGATGACTGGGACACCTTTCTTCCAGTTGCGGAATTCATTATCAACAATACAGTACATGAGGCGACAAAAATGATGCGGTTCAAGATGGACCTAGGCTATGAGCCCCACAATCCACTGGCAGACATTGTTGAAAGGCCGTCAGAAACCAGAAATGCAGACACGGAAGAGCTCTGTAAACATCTCAGAGACCTAAACATCCTTATCCGAGATCTGATGATCGAGGCCCACGATTCACAGAAAAGATACTATGATTTATCACAATGACATTTGGAGTTCTGGAGAGGAGATAAGGTGCTTCTGAGCATGAAAAACCTAGCAGGGTATGAGTCCAAGATCGCCCTGAAATGGCTGGGACCAGTCATGGTGACTGACTGTAACCTTCTCCATGACAACTACGAGTTAAAACTGCCAGATAAGATGAGATGACTTCATCCATGGTTTCACATATCAAAATTACGTCCGTACCAGAAGCCTGTCAACAGCGAATTGGAGGAAAAGGTCGCGGAAGCACAAACAGAGAATTCCGACACTACAGAAGGTGAGTTCGAAGTGGAAGCAATAGTAGACCATCGAACCAGGCATGGAAAGCATCAATTTCGAATATGTTGGGCCAGATATCCACCCCACGAGGATATGTGGGAATCAGAGGAAGCCCTAACAGAGGCTGTTTTTTGGCTTCCCGCCTCGTGTTGGGGAACCCCGCAGTCGAGCCAAGTGGCACACGGAGCTGGGCGCCCTCTTTTTCTGGGTTTTTTCATGTCAGCAACTATTCTGACCGCTGCTTCACCACTGTTGGTGGCCTTGCTGTAGGGGTCCACGATGTGGTTTGTGAGGGGCTGGCCCACCGTGTAAGGTTTCGGAGCATTGACTCCCAGCCAAAACTCATGCCCTGGAGTCTGCAGCGGCGCATTGGGGTTGGTCCGAAGCTGATGAACTGTAACAGGCTAGCAGGGACAAGAAGACAATAGAAAACTAGGGAAGACTTAGTTACTACTTGTTATTTTCCTTTTGAGGGGCCTCAGAGAGGTCCTCTTTTTATAGACAAAGGGGCTGACAAATGCTATATCCTAACTACCCAATCAGATCTCGCCCACATCATCCTAAACTATTTGTCAGCCTATTGCACCATTTGCAACCAATTAGAACTCATACATGTCATCCTAAACTATTTGTCAGCCTATTGCACCATTTGCAACCAATCCGATCTTATACATGTCATCCTAAACTATTTGTCAGCCTATTGCACCATTTAT